GGGTTGAGAATTTTGACACAAATACTTAATCGGGTCGTGTTCGGGTTGAGGTTTTTCGTGTCGTGTGAAATTCGGGTCGGGTCGTGTTGACACGAATTGCCACCCCTACTCAGGCGCGCTAAGATAAGTTAAATTCCTATCGAGAATTACGCTCGAGCGTTCTCCAGAGCGCGTTAAGACATGGAATTGCAGAGTTTTTGAATGTGCGATCCAAGCTAGGCCCAATTTATGGAATCATATAATAAAAGATATGATTTGAGATTTTAAGAAGATTCCATTAAAGATCTTATAAGAAATTAAAAGATATAATTTCGTCATTATAAAAAGGCTGGCACATTCATATAGGGGGAGCTTTTGGACATCTAAGAGTGGAGAATCCTATTGTGGAGCAATTGGGAGCATTGAAGATTCAAGACAACATCACATCAATGGAGTCTCTGGGATTCAAATTATTTTCTTTTGTTTTTGATTTTGGTATGCTAGTCTAAACTTTTATGTTGTTAGGGGCAGATGGACCCTATTTGATTCTTTTGTTATGAGTTAATTTGTCTTTAAAATTCTTCCTTTTTATTCTAATGAATGAATTTATTCTTTCTTAATGTTTTCTATGAGTTTGCTCCTTATAGATTGATTTAGGAAAATTGTATGACAATAGGGATGTTGGTGCATGAACCCTGGTTTGATAAATTCATCATAATCCTTGTGAACTAAGGATAGACATAGGGCAATTATGCAATCTTTAGATTCTTGATCGTAATGCATGTTTTCTTGGGGAATAACCGGGGAACTAGGGTTCTTTCAAGATTACATAGAATTAGGGTAACAAGAGATTGACCCCTAATTAGTTTAGAAAGAATTGATTGGCAAGATATTAAGGACGTTTTATAATTTTTTTTTACTCACAACAATAAGAGGATAATGGGGGAAATTGAAACCCTAACTACGCGTCTTCTTGATTGTCAAAACAACTCATCTCTTTAATTATTTTTAATTCTGAATTTGCATGATTTTGATTGTCTTAAATTTCAATTATTTTCATCTTAATCTTTGTTGTCCAACTAAATCGCAATTAGTGAACTAGTGTTTGAAAAACCAATCTTCGTGGGAATGATCTCGTACTCCGGTACACTTTATTACTTAACGAACGGTGCACTTGCTAAATTGTAACATTTTCATTAAGACATCTTGAGTTATTGAGAAGAAGATTCACTTTATCACTTTATGGAAATAATGACCAAAATAATAACTTATAATTATAGTATTAACACTTTCAAGAACAAGTATCATTATACTATTTTTTCTTTACCTTAGTTGTATAGGTTGCTCTTCCAGAGTATTATACATGTAGGGTAATTCATATTTCTTATTTTTGTTCTTTGTTCTTTATTGTTGCTTAGGTCTACTTTCCTAGGTTTTTAGCATAGTGAATATTTTTTATTGATTTTTTTTTTGGTAAGTATTGATTTATTTATTTTAAGTATGAAAACATTTAACTTCATATGACTAATACTTTATTTTTCTTTCTTGTGAAAAACTATGTTTTTTGGCAGAAGGATACCTCATAAGTAATTTTTATGTTTTTATTTCTTTAAATCACGAGTCTTAATATTTTCAAATCTATTTTTTTTGTATTCAATCTCCATAATTGCTTTTATCGAGACATTATAAGGCTTCTTAAAAGTTATTGAGAAAGATTCTATTGTTGTCATTTTTGTAGACAAGATGACCAAAATAATAACTTATGTTTATAGCATTGTTACTTTCAAGAGCATTTGAGTTAGCAAAAGTAATGAAAATTTATTTTGTTCTTTTTATCTAGAATTATTAATATTTTGATCTACCCTAATTTTGATCATTAGGAATGCCATCAATTAGTATCCATTAATTTCACTGCTCTAGTTTTAAAGTTACAATTAGTATCCAAGTTTTAGAATTACCTCAATTTTTTTCAAGTCTTGATCAAAATCAATATAGCAAGAGGCATCATTTTATCACTCCTTATCCCTAATTACTTTCAATCTGATTAATATTCTTTCATTCTTTTTAATTATTTTCTGAAGCATGACACTTTTTGGTTTCACATGAGTAAGGCTTCATTGTTCATCCTCATGAAAAATAAAGCATGTATTTAAAATAATACCTCAGGATTAATTTTATATATTTTCCTTTTTTATTGCATATATCTTAATCTCAAATATAGTTTTTGTCGTATTCAAGCTCCATCTTGAGTCATTAGGAAAAAGATTCACTTTTTGTCATTTTTATGGATATGATGACAAGAATAATAACATATGATCGTAATGTAACTTTCAAGAACAAGTATCATTTCATTATTTTTGTGTAACTGTTAACTCTCCCAAATGAGAGTTAATTTGGTATTTTTATGATGAATTTGCTGCATAAATTCCATATAAAGTGTCTTAATTGCATGATAATTGAGCTAAATGTTGCATATTCACGATTAAGTGCTTTGAGATGACTAAGTATGAAAAATGAGACAATATTCCTTGATTTTGTACAAGAATAGATGATTTGTTGAGTGTTTGTCTTTGCAGGAAAAGTTGACGCCAGAATACTGTAGCAGAGAAGCTGACAAAGTAATGATATAGCAATCGGTACAGCATGACAGCGAGGACAAAGGAACAATTGAATTTTAAATTTCAAAAGTTAGTCATTCCCCAACAAATGGATAAAGCACTAGCAAGCAAGGATAAAGGGCGTTCTTGAAGATTAATTATTATCCCAAAATCTCAAAGATCAAGGAAAGCAAACTCTTATCTAGTCAACAACAATATTGGCACAAAAAATCAAGAAGATCAAGATCTTATCCAATCAAGTGCCAACAGTCCAAGAAAATAGGGATAAGATAAGGCTGCAGCAGCACAAATCATGGATTTTTACTCCTAAAGTGAGGCCCAATTAACCAACCACCTTTTCCTATTTAAAGAGGACTACATTACGAATTCAAAAAGGCTGGGAAGAATGTAGTACCCCACTCACGTTTAGAGAGAGAAAGTGAGATTCTTGGAGGAGGAAGAGTTGCTGGAGCAAGACTGTGACTTTTACAACAACATTCCTTTCATCTTCTTTTCTGTTTCTCCATGGGTTCTTTCTTCCTTTTCTCTGTTTTATTTAATTCCATTATGAGCTAATTTGCTCTATAGGTTAGGTGATAAAGTACCTATGTTGTAACATTGAGATGTATGCCTAAACTTTGTTTTTATTAATGTTTAATTAGTTATTCAACGAGTTTGCTTATTCTTATTCATGTATGCATGTCGAGATATACACATGTGATATTGAGGAGGTTGGGGCCGAGAGGTTTCCGAATCCAGACCCTTGTTGAATTGTGTGGATTAATTAGATTAAAGTTAACTTGATTTAGTTATGGGTAGAGAGATCATTCACACCACATAGCCTTTGAACTTGAACTTTAACAATTCAGTAATTAGTTTGGCCATAGAGATGTGGGAATTAGTTATTGGGTATATATGTTAGATTGGCCAAAAGCCCCAGCATACTTTAGTGTTCGGTTACTAATTAAGCATTGATAGAGCATCGTTAAAACATCGTTTCAGTATTGTTGTATCGGGGAAATTGAACTTGATCTATATTTCATCCATCACTTTAATACCTTAGAATTATTTTATTGTTTTCTTAGTTTAATTATCTTTTATTTTACAAACCCAATCATAAAAATTAATCATTTTCTAGTTTCTTTACTTAAATAATCATTGCTTTATAAATCATCTCCGTGGGAACGATCTTGGACTCACACATCCCTTTATTAATTGTGACACGTGCACTTGCGTATTTGTGTGATTGATTTAATTGATTGCAAATTGCACAACAGTGACCTTAAACATTACATAGGTTTCTCTTCTCAGATTTTCTATGCATTAGTTCATTTATTTATTTATTTTTTGTACTTTATTTTTGCTTATGTTGAATTTCCTAGGTTTTCACCCTAATGAATAATTTTTTTCCTTTTTACTTTTAAAAAATATATGAAACCTTGCATTTTTGCTCAATCATTTGGCTTCGTATGAATCCACTTTCTGATGCACATATTTTTTGAATTTTTCTTTCTCAATAGTATAAATCTTAATGGAAATGATGACCAAAATAATAACTTATGATTATAGTATTATCACTTTCAAGAACAAGTATCATTATTCTATTTTTTCTTTACCTTAATCACTATATAGGTTGCTCTTCCAGAGTATTATACATGTAGAGTAATTCATATTTCTTATTTTTGTTCTTTATTTTTGCTTAAGTCTACTTTCCTAGGTTTTTAGCATAATGAATATTTTTATTGATTTATTTATTTTCAAGTATGAAAACATTTAACTTAGTATGAATAATATTTCATTGTTCTTTCGTGTGAAAACTATGCATTTTGGTAGAAGGATACCTCATAACTAATTTTTATATTTTTATTTCTTTAAACCACGAGTCTTAATATTTTCAAATCTATTTTTGTTGTATTCATTCTCCATAATTGGTTTTATCAAGACATTATGAGGCTTCTTAAAAGTTATCGAGAAAGATTCTATTGTTGTCATTTTTGTCGACAAGATGACCAAAATAATAACTTATGTTTGTAACATTGTTACTTTCAAGAGCATTTGAGTTAGCAAAAGTAATGAAAAGTTAATAACACAAAAATTTATTTTGTTCTTTTTATATAGAATTATTTAATATTTTTATCTACCCCAATTTTGATAGTTAGGAATACCATCAATAAGTATCCATGAATTTTACCGCCCTAGTTTTAAAGTTACAATTAGTATCCAAGTTTTAGAATTACCTCAATTTTTTTTTTCAAGATCACTTGGTCAAAATCAATATAACAAGTGGCATTACTTTATCATTCCTTAACCCTAATTGTTTTCAACCTAGTGAATATTCTTTTTCTTCTTCTTCTTTTTGAAGCAAGACACATTTTTATTTTTGGAAATAATAGGAAATTAAAACAAAAACACAACAAAAAGAAACTAGGCACAAAGCCTAGACCAGTGAACACCTATAATGTCACCATACAGACTATCAATACAACCTGACGGTGGACAATCAAATTCCTGAATTACCCAAGAGAAACCATAAGAGTAAGAGGCTAGAAAGTCCGCTACTCTATTTCCTTCACGGTGAATGTGAGACATATAAATCTGCCAATCTCGCTGCATCAAATTTCGAATACGATTCACCAAATTAGCCGCAGGGTAATCATGGTGGCACCCATTTGTAATGAGCTGTTGAGCTGAAAGAGAATATCCTTCGAGCCAAACTTGCCTAAAACCTCTATCCCAAGCTAGCTCCAAACCAACCAAGCAAGCCCATAACTCAGCATGCAAAACTGTACCTGAGCCTAAATTTTTACAGAATCCGACGATCCAAGTTCCTGAGGCATCGCGAAAAACTCCTCCACACCCAGTCCTAGTACCATTAGCATCACATGCACCATCAACATTAAGCTTAACCCAATCCACAGGAGGACAACACCAAGCAACCAATCTCTCTATTCGATTCCTTGGTTGATTGCCCGCTCCAAAAACAGGGTTAGCTGCAAGAGCGACACTATCTCTGAAACCAATTGCTGAACGGATAAGTGAATAAGCATTCTGGCGATCACCTTCAAAAACCCAAGAATTCCTACATTTCCAAATTTTCCAGGCTAAGATTCCAAATAAAAGAGGCCAGTCCGACCCCATCCCCCAATCCTTTGAGCTGTCTAAATTAGAAATGATCCAATTGTGCAGGTTGAGGTTGAAAAATTCACGCTGATTTATATGAGGCATTATCATGCACCATACTTCCTTTGATTGTGGACAGTCGCGAATAGTATGAAGGATAGTTTCACTAGACTGATTACATCTAGGACACAGATCTGAAAGAGCCATATGGCGGCGGAGTCTACAAACATTAGTCATCAGCTTCTCCCCTGCCATTAACCAAAGAAAAAAGCGAATTCTTTCTGGCCCCTGCCATCTCCAAACACTTTCCCAAGGAAACTGTTGGATTGTAGTATCTTTGATGGCTAATATTGCATATGCTGACTTAACAGTAAACTTGCCATCTGTCGTTCCATTCCAAATTAAATGATCCTGGCCATCTTGACTAGAAGGAGGAAGAAAATTCATAAATCGATGCAGCACAGAATCTGGAAGCAATTGTCGAAGAGAATTCCATTTCCATTGCCCCAATTCATCCACGTAGTCCACCACCTTCTGAAGAGTATCACTAATAGAAAACTGAGAACCTGCATATGAGATCAAAGGACCACAATCGGGCAGCCAGCTATCAAGCCAGAACATAGTGGACTGACCATTGCCTAACTGCACCCGACTATGATCCATTATAATATTCCAATGACGCGTAATTCCCTTCCAAAGCTGGGAGCTGTTGTTTGGAGCATGAATAATTGGTGTCATGCCTGCCTCCACATTGTACTTAGCACGTAAGAACTTTGACCACAAGGCATCTGGATGAGCTACGAGGTTGAACCCAACCTTCATGATAAATGCTGAGTTCATTTCCCTCATACTCCGCAGTCCAAGGCCTCCATTTTTTTTATCCATGCAAATCTGCTTCCAGGCCACAAGATGAGAACGTCTAGAGTGTGGAGATGAACCCCAAACAAAATTTCGAATCTTCCTATCAATCTCTTCACAGGTGACTTGCGGTAATGAACACACCTGCATTGGATATGATGGGATTGCTAATAACACTGCTTTAGATAATGTAACACGACCTGCTAGAGATAGACTGGCATGATTCCAAGCAGCAATTCTAGAATTCATTCGATCCAAAACATAAGAGAAAGATGACCGACCCACTCGCTTATGATGCAAAGGAATTCCCAAGTATCTTCCAAGATCCGCAGTCAAAGAAAAACCAAGAAGCCCACTAAGATGGTTTGCTTGAGTATGACCCACATTCTGAGAAAAGAAAACTCTAGTCTTACTATGATTGACTTTTTGACCAGATGAATCACAAAATATATGTAAGGCCTGTTGAATTATTAACACTTGCTCCTGAGAAGCTTCTGCAAACAAAAGGAGATCGTCAGCAAAAAATAAGTGGGAAATTTGTGGAGCTCCCCTTTTAATCCTCACTGGCTTCCACCTCCTGTGATCCACTGCCTGAGAAATGAGATGGGCTAGTCTTTCCATGCAGAGGACAAAAAGATAAGGAGAAAGAGGATCTCCTTGTCTTAAGCCTCTAGTTGGCCGAAATTCTTTAGTACAAGCCCCATTCCAAAGAACATTCATAGTGCAAGATGAAACACACAACATAATTAGTCTTATCAAATTTTCAGGAAGCCCTACATCATATAGGGTATCCTGAAGGAAATTCCAACTGATCCTATCGTATGCTTTCTCAAGATCAACCTTGATCGCCATCCAACCTTTAGATCCTCTCTTTTTCCTCATTGAATGGATTAGCTCTTGAGCAATTATGACATTATCCGTACCTTGTCTACCTCTGATAAAACTGCACTGATTAGGCATCACCAGCTTGTCCATCTGCAATTTTAAACGGTTAGCAACAATTTTTGTTACCGTTTTATAAATAACATTACACAAGCTAATCGGACGAAAATCCTTGAAAGTATGAGGATTCTCAAGTTTAGGAATCAAGCAAAGAAGAGTCTGATTCACTTCTTCTATACGACTAGGATCATTGAAGACTCCCTTAATGAAATTACAAACAGAGCTCTCCACTACATCCCATTGGCTTTGAAAAAATATGCTATGAAGACCATCAACACCAGGCGCTTTAAAAGGCCCCATTGAGAACACTACTCCTTTAATCTCTTGACTACTAGGGCAGCTCTCAAGAGCCATCATAACTCTCCTTTCCATTTCTGGGAATTTGTTCCTAATGGGAAAATTAGGCCGGAGAGGAATATCTTCCTTATATAAATTATCATAGTATTCCACTGCCATACTCATGAGAAGAGAAGGGTCAGCAATCCAATCCCCGACATCATTTTGAAGGGCATCAATCCTATTCCTCCTACGCCTGGCAACTGTTGCTGAATGGAAGAATTTAGTATTACGGTCACCAAACCGAATCCAGTCAGTTCTAGATCTTTGGTACCATGTAATCTCTTCTCTAAGATAAATAGTATTTAACTGTTGCCAGATCTCTTTCTGCAGCCTCTCCAGAGAATGACAAGGATGTTGACTTAAGCTATAATCAATTCCACGGAGGCGAGAATGAAGATTATTTTTTAACTTCTCCTCCTCCTTGTAACAATCCTTATGCCAGGATGTGGCTTTCTCTCGAAAGTTTTCACTAGATGCTTTCCAATTGTGACCACCTGCCCAGCACCTCTTCACTAGATCAGAGAAAGAATTATGAGTCAACCAAGCCGCTAGAAAACGAAAAGGACGAGCCCCTCCATTACTAAAATTTGGTTGTCCATCCCAAAGAAGGATTGGACGATGATCAGAGTTATAAAAAGGAAGGTGAGAGATAACTCTGTTCGGAAATGACATGTTCCAGCTTTGATTTACACAAGCACGATCAAGTCTCTCCAAAAGATTACCTCTTCTCCAAGTAAAACTCGGACCTTGGTGCCCCAGATCACTAAGATGACAAGACATAAGACAATCTTGAAAATCCTGCATGCTCCTCCAATTGTGAACTGAACTCCCCCTCTTCTCCTCCGAGTGAATGTAAGTATTAAAATCACCCATAATGCACCATTCATTATTATTTTGCGGCTGAATATTCTCCAAAGCATCCCATAGAGCATGACGCTCTTGACGCCGAGGACTAGCATAAACAAAGGTGAAAAATTCCTGCTTATGATAATTAAGCCAGCTTATCTTTGAATGAATAAATTGATGATCAGTATGCAGAACTTGGATATTCACTTCTGATGAATTCCAAAGAATCCATATGCCTCCTGAAAAACCAATCGGGTCAGAAATAAAAAAATTTGAGAACCCTAGGCTTTTAGCCACCTGCTTTGCACGCAGTCCACCAATACGGGTTTCCAAAAGCACTAAGATACAAATACGATATCTTCTTGTGAGGTCTTTTATTAGGGGGGAAAAGCCCTTTTTTCCAGCCCCTCTACAATTCCATGAAACAATATTCATAAAAAACAAATACAGAGAAGAAGAAAGAATGGTATGAACACCAATCATTGAGGAACAGTTTGCACACTTAAATCTCCCGAAATGGAAGCACCATCCGAATCCACCAAATTGTTGTGAGCCTGATTGCCTAACACCGATTTAACCAAAGCATCAGGGGGTTCATTAGTCTCCTTAAACTCTTCGTCCGGTATTAAGATTTTTCCATTTTGCTGGCCCCTCTCAAGAAGCTGACCATTCTCCTGTTTCCCGGAAATGGAACTAAGAGCCAGATTCGAGCTTGGAGAAGGATTCACGTTACGAGCTATATCATTGAGAAACATGTTTGTATCACCTTTAGTCAAACTCAAAAAAATTCTCTCCTTAGATTCCCTCGATAAAGATTGAGGTTTAGAGGGAAGCTTGAAAGACTTAGAAGATACTGCAAGACCCGTTTGTTTTTTCTTTAGAACAAAAGATTCCTTCACCGCCCCAGTCTTCTTCGGTATCTGTTGTTTATTTTTTCTAGAAACTTTAACGCTCCCATTCTGCAGGAGTTGATCTTCTTGGTTCTTTTTTTCCTGGGCCCCAATCGAAGGCTTAGTCAGACTATTAATTAGATCACCCATATGCTTAGCTGGCTGAGGAATATTTTGCGCTGACGTATCCATGATGGTTAACTGATTCAAATCAGGAATGTTGCTTGATTTCTGCAAATTAATTGCATTAAAATCCTGATGATTAGACATCCTTGCAACGTTATCATCTTTTGAAACTTTGTTAACGTCAGCAATGATTGCGAAACGTGAGCCAATTGGCTGGCCATAATTAGGGACCGTTTTTTTTTGATAAAATCTCCCTCTTAACAGCACCTGTATTCACTCCTCCTAAATTGGCATTAACTTGCATGACAGCACCAGATTTTTTCCCCCCATTATTGGCAATTACACCAGGTGCGGATTTTTTGCTCGGAATTGAATGCACTTCATGAGCCTTCTCCTTGATTGCAGCATCCATAGCTGAATTCACGACCTTCTTTCTTCCTCGCTGGTTACGCTGGACAAGCATCCAAGAACCAAAAGCCTCCCCTTCCATCGCCACTTTATGCTGAACTGTGGTGTTTGCCATTGTTGTATGAATCTGAGTACTTTGATTAAAGATTACCTATGTTACATAGGTGCTTAGACGTATAGAATTCAATTGGGAGACCTGGAATACGTAGCCATACAGCCAGCTTCTTGAAATCATCGTCATGAGGGTTAAAGAAGGGACGCCAACGTTGAACCATTACATAATGATCAGCTACAATCCAAGGACCCTCTTGCAAAACAAAATTGTAGTCCTCAATCTTGTCAAACCGAAATAAAAAATAATCATTCTCCATATCAATGAACTCATAAGAGCCGCTTAAATTCCACATCTTCAACAACCTATTTTGAAAAAACTTCACCCCCACACGCTTTCTTAAAAGTTTCACAATAACTGCCATCCTCCAAGGTTTGCAGCTTTCTTTGTGAATCTCCTTTTCAAAACGATATGAGGGGCAGAAGGGATCATCAACAGATTGGTTGCACTCTTCCATGAACTGGGATTCTTCATCCTCCTCAAATCCTAGGTTCTCAAGAACCTCTGTCTCCTTCTCTTCACTTGACCCTCCATTTAAATGTAACAGAGAATCTTTATAAGAAACAACACTCCTTCCTTCTTGTTCTTTAGATCTACGAATACTCCTCTCAAGAAGATCAGCCTCTTCTGTGGAGAATTCTTTGCTTTCTCCGTCCTTCATTCTTTCTCTCAATACTATTCTCCAACCAAGTTAGGGTTCGGATGAGTGAGAAATTCTCCACTCGAAGCAAGACACATTTTGGCTTCATAGTAAGACTTCATTGCTCATCCTCATAAAAAATAAAGCATGTATTTAAAAACATACCCCAGGTCTACTTTTTCACATTTTTCTTTTTCTTTTATTTCATAAGACTTAGTCTTTAATTTTTTTTATATTAATGTTGCATTCAAATCTATTTTTTGTCGTATTCAAGTTCCGTAAAAATCTATTTTTTTCATATTCGTTCTCTATAATTGTTTTCATTGAGACACCTCGCGTTATTGAGAAAAGTTTCACTACTTGTTATTTTTATGGATATGATGGCCAAATTAATAACTTATGATCATAACAATCACTTTCGAGAACAATTGTCACTATATTAATTTTGTTTGACCTTAATTGCTACCTAGGTTGTTTTTCTCGAGTTTTCAACATATTGGGTCATTCATTTCCTTTATGATATAGTAAGTTAGTAACAACATTTTTTTTCTTGTCGTTTTTATCACATTTTAACCAAAATAATAAATCGTGATCATAACATTGGCACTTTCAAGTTCTAGAGCATTACTTTTGAAAATAGAATTATTTGAATAGGGAAAAGTAATGCTCAAATGAATAACTTAAAAATTTATTTCATCCTTTATGATATAGTATTACATGATATCTTTGTTCTACCCTGATTTTGATTGTTAGGAATACTATCAACTAACTTCAAAGAATTTGATTGCCCAAATTTTGAAGTTACCATTAGGATCCGATATTTTTTTTTTGATTCAATTGTTTTTAGGTATCTCTTGAAATAAATGTAGCAAGTGTCGTTGCTTTTTTTTTTTTTTTTTGCCCTAATTATTGCATAGGTTAACCTTTTAGATATTTAAACATATACAATCGTTCAGTTTTTTTAACTTTTTTTGTTTGTACTTAATTTTTGCTTAGGTTGACTTCTCTAATTTTCAACTTAACAAGTATTTTTTTTTTCTTTTTTAGTTTTGTTTGAAGCATGAAACTTTTTGGCTTCACGAGGGCAATGTTTCATTACTCATTCTCGTGACAAACAAAGCATGTCTTTAGAAGAATACCTTGTGATTAATTTTTCACATTTGTCTTTCTTTATTGCATGTGTTGAGATATATAGTCTCACATTGGTTGTATGAGCAACTAATGTGGAGTTTATAAGGCCTTGGACACTCCCACCCCTTTGAGCTAGCTTTTGGGGTAGTGTATCCCAAGGTTCTTTACATGGTATCAGAGGCTGGGCGTGTTGAGATATATAGTCCCACATTGGTTGTATGAGCAACTAATGTAGAGTTTATAAGGCCTTGGACACTCCCACCATTTGAGCTAGCTTTTGGAGTAGTGTATCCCAAGGTTCTTTACAGCATGAATATTAATATTTCCAAATATCTTTTCGCCGTATTCAACCTCCACAATTGCTTTTAGGGAGACACCACGAGGCTTTTTGCAAGTTGTTGAGAAGATTCTTTCACTAAGTTTTTTTAATGTCAATAGCATATAGAAAATTTGACTAAGCAGAAAGTTGATATTTGATAAAAGAGAAACCTCCAGTTCTTAATTTTTATTATCAAAACAACAAATTATTAAACTCCTACAATATAAGTCTTAAGCACTTTTTATAGACCAATTACAAATCAATTCAGAATTTAAAATCCTCAAAATATGGAAAGAATATAAAAAACTAATTATGGCGGATTACAAATCAATCATCATTAAACACAACTTAATTAAGAAAATAATTAAAATAAAGTTATGCCTAAATCCCAAAAAGTGTATGCGCACTTGCACGATTCTAAGCCAATTCTATGTGTATCATCCTCCTTCGCTAGGAAAAGATTCACCCTCGAATCTGCTTTATTTTCATTGATGGTGGCTGAAGGTAGACAGAAGTTATGACGCAACATATGCTAAAACATATCAAATGCATTCCCATTATAAAAATTCTGAACAATATCGTATATAACAAAAGTTCACAATACCACGTTAGGCTTAACATCATCATATGTAATCATCAACTTGAAGATCTCAAAGACCACCATTGTTTGTTTATCCTTATGTCAAAATGCCTACATCAAAGTGTTCCAAGTTACCACATTTGAATCCCCATTAATGTTATTAAAATTATATTGCACCAAACTAAATGAAGAATTCAATGCCTCATTTGTAAGGCTTTGTTGAGCTTGCCCAAAAACAATGGTATTAAGAATCACCGAGCTTTTCACAACTGCCTTATCAAACAACTTGCGAACATCCTCGACTCTAGAACACTTGGAGATTCAATCACTGATTTGGTCGTAAGCTTTGGGAACATATGGAATCATAAATACATTGTTAGGCTTCAACCCTTGGGTCATTTGTATCTAATCGAACACAAGAAAAGCACATTCTCCACCCTCTAGTTTTCCATCAAAGTCAAATACTGGACTACTATTATAATCTCGCTCTCTATCGGAATCATCATATATTAGATCATTTTCACAATCTCATTCTTCATCAGAATCATCATATATTGGATCACCGCCCTAATCTTGTTCTCCATTGGAATAATCAAATATAGGACTATCATAAAAAACTAAATTGTTAGGAATCCCAACTGTTATCTTGCTATCTTGAAAAATGGATTGATTTTCATGTCGTACTTCCCATTTCTATCTCTAGTTTAGAATCCCCAAAGGATTGGTGTCCCCATCTTCATTATCAGATGTATCCTCTAATTCCATTCCTTCTTCGCATTGAACATCTAACTTTGTCTGCGCAATTTGTCACTCCAAATCTTGGAATTGCCTACTCTGTGCATGCACAAGTCTTTCGATTCGCCTTTCGAGCTCTTCATTTTTTATGTATCGCGGGTCTGTCTAATGCGATTGTCTATCTTCTTCATGAATGAATCCACATCCCTTGCCTTCACGACTCTGTCATCCATGACTTCCATGAATGTTAAGAGCACATAGAAAATATGGCTAAACACAAAGTTGAGATTTGATAGAAGAGAAACCTTTGGCTCTCAATTTTTATTATCAAAATAGGTATAGATTATTTTAACAATCTTTTTATAGGGATAGGATATTGTTATTACCAAATAATGTTACTATCATATCTTAACCGTTGATTTTTGTCAATCAACAGTTATCATTTATTGTGAATTAATAATTAATTAATGAGTTTGATTTGTAGAAATAATAACCGTTGATTGGAGGAAATCAACGGTTAAGATATGGTAGTGACATTGGTAGTAACAATATCCTATCCCCATTTTTTATGCCTACCTTACCTACCATTCTCTAATACCTTTATATTAGAATCTCAAGATGCAGTGGCGGAGCCAGCTTAAAAATTTAGGTGGTGCCAAAAAATTGACATATTACATTATTAAAATATTTATCGTAATTACACAAATTTATCAAGAAAAAAAGTTACTATGAATTCTAACATAGTTATCTAAATTACGTACTAAATAATGTCACATAATATTGAAAATTCAAATGAACACTTGTTGTTGATTATATATCAAAGCAAACATATAAAAATGCACTAATCTTTTCGGTAAATATTTCAAACATAAAAATTTTACTTTTCTCCCACAATATAATAAGTAATGAACCAAATATTATCTTAAGAATATGAAAACACACAAATATAATAATTATATGTATAATAAACATTATCCTTCATCTCCTTTTTCATTATCTCTATTCCTTGAATTTTCAATATCTCACGTTAGAGAACATCGCCCTTGTTTGCAACAGCCATAAGCACGATCAAAAGTTCTCACATTTTGAAATTAGGTTTTTGACTATTCTTTGTGTGTGCAATAACCCAAAACATAATAGTTCAATGGACCTTCATATTCCATAATTATAGTCCTATTATTCATTTGGTTTCATGATTGTTACTTTCAAGGGTTAAATTTTTGTCCTTTTAAAGGACACAAATTGTGTCCTTTTAGTTTTTAACACTATGTCTTACCGGTAAGACATAGTTATAACATGAAAAGTTATCTTTTTTCTCTCTCCACGTCAGCTGAAATGATTGAGAAAATAAAAACAAAAATAATTTTTCATATTATAACTATGTTTTACCGGTAAATGGGTTTAAAGGATACAACCTTGTGTCCTTTTAAAGGACAAACTATTTTTTTTACTTTTAAATGGGTTTATTTGATTTAGTTGGGCCCAAATTTTGAAATAGATTAATCATTTTTCTGATTAAGTTTAGAAGTTTTTCTTTTTTTAAATAATAGAAGTAAGAATAAATAACATAACTGATTAGAATAAAGCAGAAAAAAATATACAGGATAAAAAAAAGAAGGTAAAACACAAAAATAACCATACTATATATGTTCCTTATTATTTGTTTGTATTTAGATGGTTTGTTGTTACTTTGTATTGAGTATTTGATTTTCTATTTAGGTGATGCCAAATTATAATTTTTATCTTAGTTAATTATAATTAATTATATAATATATATAATACGTTAAAAAAAAAAACAACCAAGTGCCAAGGCACTTGCTGGCTTGGATGTCGTTACGGCACTGTCAAGATGAGAGAGAAATGATAAAGGTTAATTGAGATTTTGATATAATGATGTTGGAGAATTAAAGGTAAGATAAACATGAAAAAAAGATAAATAGAATAACTTATACCAGCAAAATAACAAAATATCTAGCTCTTAAAATAAGGTTCTTAAACAACATTTTTTAGACCAATTACAAATAATTTAAAATTTAAAATCCTAAACATAAGGAAATATTATAAAAATAATTATGACTTATTGCAAATCAATCAGCATTTTTTAGGCCTGCTCAGTGCTCTCCAAATCAATCAACATTAAACATCGCTAAATTAAGAAAGTAATTAAAATAACAATAAAAATAAAGATACGCCTAAAATAACGTACGGATACATGCACAATTCTAAACCAATTTTAAGTGCATATTAACAAATTATTTTTAGAATTGCGCATATTAAAATTGAGAACGACTTAAAAAATTGAGATCGACTACATCATAAAATATCCATTATCAGCGTGAATATTAAGTCTTGTTTAAGTTATTTAAATTTTTAAACATGGAATGTCTCTCTATGATACCTAGTTATCAACAAATGAAGGAAATGTTCCATGTTAAAAGAGATTTGCCATGTGATCATCTAAAGGGTGGCCTAAAAGTTGGAAGACAGCTATGTATGTTCTTCCACAAGGAGAAAAATAAATTACATATTATTAATGTCTAACTATTTTTTGACGTAAAATGTAAAATCAGCCGCCTATGAAATTATGAGGTCTTCTTCCTTATGTGTTGGTGCCAAACTTGTGTGAAATGAAAACTGAGTGGTCTGTAGTCACATTTTTATGGGTTTTCAAAAAGCAAGTAGCCATATAGGTCATGTTGACAATAATAACAAAGCTCTTCTTCTGATTAAATCATGCATGTGCCCTACTAGCTGACCCTTTGGATACTTGTCCTGTTATAATTGAATGAGGCTATAATTGAAACCCCACTAGATGAAAGTGAACCAAGTATGTCAATTTACTTGTCCTGTGCTCAGAGCCTAATTTGTACATATAATGCAAAACCTTCTGTTTGATGGGCATGGTGAATCTTAGACTAAAGAAAAGGTATGGAGGATCATTTGTGGACTTGGTCTGACTTCAAACACCAACAAATCCACAAATATATATTAAAAAAAAAAAACTTGGCTACATATATGATCGTGACAGGCACAGCTTTGATAACATGGATTTTGCATAAGTGAAGAAGTGAGGGGTAATTCATATTTGAGTTGAATAGGCCCATCTATATTTGGGGACATGATTTTACTGATTTTGTCTCTTAAGTTCTATTGGGTAATGACTTGGGCAGCCATGCAAAGCCATTGCTATTTACGTTGAAGGCTTCACATGAGCAACCACATGGCCTTAATTTGGACAGTGATGGATGAGCGAGAATTAAGAAGGGGGGCTATTTATTGAGCCTCACCAAGAAGAGTACAGTTGCAGTTGCATCTCACACATGGCTTCTTCTTCATAGCACTAGATTTTAGCATAGTATGGGAAATTAATAATAGAGTGTAGGTGTTGAGAAGCTTTTACCACAAGGGAAAAGTTATGATTCTTGTACTATTTCCCATCGTTTTGTTCTATATACTATGGAAGTTTGAAGACATCAAGCACATGCTTTAATTATTATCATTATTCCATACACACTGACATTAAAAAGAAGCAAATGCTAAAGACAGCCCTGCAATTTAAGGATAGATGAATATCTATATCCCTCTTTTTTTTTCTTTGGTCTGTATATTCAGGCATTTTCTGAGTTTGAGAGTTGGTTTACTTCTTTATTTGCAAAAGGTTGCACAAGATACCAAAAATATTGAGTAGCTCGTCTTGAAAGTTGTAGGGAGTTAAGATGAACTTTGGGTAGTTTGGTACCTTACCCTCTTTCTTGGTTTTCAACTTTTTCTCTTTTGCTAGACCAAAGACAAGCAGGTCAAGTTTTTGTACATATGTTACTATATTGGGCGCAGGCTTTGACACCAATGAGAACTAAAGCTTGTACTAAGATAGCATCTGTGTACTTTTCATCGAATAAGCTCTTAAATTCTAAGAGTTGACTCTTCTCCAATAGTGAGTATCATCTGGCAAATGCACTGACAATCTTATCTGAAGTAAAATTGTTCTCACAGAAAAAATTGGGGTTCCGGAGAAACATGGGAAGGCAAGTTGCCTATTGCAGCAACAATAAGAATTGAGAATATGGAAAAATCCAATTGAATTATCTGTGGTTTGGCACAAAATGGCTTATTTTGTGATCAGATTCTTGTTTGAGTTTCCCTGGCTCACATTTTTCATATCTATCATTGGGTATGAAGTTTCCTTTGGTGAATGGAAACTTCCATTGGATTTTGAAAACCAAAGACATTTCACCAGAAACTTTCTTCCTAACCTCTTCCCAGCCTTTTCTTTTGCTGGTCTAGCAGTTGAATGAATGAAATAAATAAAGCTATAAGATATTTAGGCATATGTGATACATTTTTCTTAAAAAATTAAGATCCAATTTCGCTCTGCAAAAGCTAAACTATATATCAATTTTCACCCATTTGCTTTTTACCCTCCTATTATTATATTTCTTTGTCAAGAAGCACAACCAGAAATCTGTGGTTCAAAAGTTTTTTTTTACACATAAAATATCTTTACTTTACACTTATTACCACTGATCTACTATCTCATTTACATGTAACAATCGATGAAGGTATAAAAGATAAAAGGTGTCCTCCCAACGTTTAGGCATAAAACATTCTACTAAAACTCAATTTTCATTGAGATTCGGGTGGATCGAAAAAGGACAAGATGTGCACAAAATAACGAGGAAAAAGTAAAAGTGTAATACTCTCTTCCTTTCATTCATACCTCCTTCCAAACAAGCAGGACCTTACAAAGTTACAATATATAATAGCTCACAAGCGCTAATAAAGCATCATACCTGTACCTCATTATCTAGTTATATTTGGGAGAGGAAATGTAGAAGGGATGAGGGCAGGGACAAATTTGGATTAGTTTAACCTCTCGCTAGTAAATAGAAGAAAAAGAACGTCCAACACCTAGTCCTTCTCTTTGTATTCAATATTTCACGTCACGTTAATGAGACTGTACCAACTGGTTCAAACATCGATTGATGACTACATGATTAAATCTGTGATAGCTTTCACACATAATTCAGTAGGGAAGAAGCTTCACCTTCATGATAAATAAAGGAAGTTTTCCAGCAACCAAATCAGGTGTTATTTTATTTCTCCCTTGTTCAGCAAACACTAGGCAAATGATCTCTGAAACACCACACAGACAAAACTATGGAAACATGATCACCTGTACAATATAGATGACACGGGAGCAACATTCAATCACCCAGAGAGCGCATATGATCTAATTTTCCCTCAAACACATCATACAAAAATTATAGACAGATTAAACCACTCCCCATTAAACCTCAACTATTGAGGGTAGGGATGAGAGTCATTCTTGTACGCAATCTTATCCTTACATATTTGCAAAGAGATTTTCTTGGATTCAAACCCATTACCTTTCAGTCACAGACAAGAACTATAAACAGATTATGTACTAAAATTTACAAAAATAAAATAAAATTGATATATATAACCTGACTGCAGACATGTAAAAAGGGGGAAATTTTCTTCAAAACAACCAAGGAATTTATTGGAAATGTCATGCAATTCAACTTAGCATCACGAGAAAATACTCATTGATCACCATTGTTAACCTTGATCTCTATAAGTTCCTCAATAGACTGACGGCATATAGGGCATTTATTGGATTGAAGCCGCAGAGCTTTAGCACACTCACTGCACATACACTGCAAAATACAACAGATGTAATGTGAGAAAAATCAAAGTAGATTGAATATAATGTAAAATAAAATACAGACATGATGTGACATAGCAACTTTCCGTAAGGATCTCTAACAAGCAATTAGAATATTCGCTTCGAGTCAGGAAGAAACAAAAGCACTAGATACCCGCTTCTCCCATGGTATATATAAGTGCTGACACACTATATTGTGTTTCATGATATCAAACAATACATGCCTGATCACATGACATGCAAAGAGCTCACGACTTTGAAAACATAAGATCAGGCGGCAGGAGAGGAAGAAAATATAAAAGGTAATACAAGGATCACAAAGCACCCATTTTACTCTTTTAAAATGATTAACAGTACGCTTGGTTTTCTATAAGCAATCCCATGCAAATACAAATGATGCTATTACCCAGAGTTATGTATGTGCACGAACCACATCTAATATTATCATACATAATATCCAAGTGCATGAAATCTTACCATATGTCGACAAGGTAAGACAGCAGTATCCTTTGGTTCAGTCATGCATATTACACACTCCTTCCCAGGATCATTGTCATCAAAATCGGTTGCTGCTGAGCTTCCTATACCATATAACTCTCTCAACTCATATCGAACACCATCAATCCAAAGAATCTGCCTAACTACTTTAATCTGGAAAGGACCACCACCATTGCTTTTCTCTAAGACACCTTGAGTTATTTGCATGTGAGGGGATGCATCTAGCATGGAATCATCAGGAGTGTCATCTGATGAGGGAGTTCTCAAACATGTTTCAGCACATATTACAAGAGGAAAGACATCTTCACTAGGTGAGGACTTTGAAAGATCATCCAACTCAAAGAAGCCTAAGTCAATCCCTGTTCCTGAAGGCTGAGCAAATTTCTGGCCAGCTCCTTTCTGAAAGGGGATTCTGACTGGCTGAAATGCATCAGGAAATAGAGGAACAAACCTACATTTTTCTTCTTCCTTGGCAAAGTAGTAGATACTAATGCTGCAAATTACAAATACAAGGAGTAAAGGAATTAGAGAAGCAAAGACATTCCATTTTATATGCCAAATTCACTCAAATCTTCAAATATTCTCATTTTAGAACAATCATTTCATATAACTAGTCAATCAAACTAATTGCAACTTCAAACCATAAACCGTGGTTACTTTTTGTTCTTCCATTGGCACTTGAAATGATTTGAATAATTCAATCAATGTAAGCAAAACCAAAATTTCAGAGCACAAACAGTTGCAATTGTGAACATTGTTGTATTGGGTTCTTCTTCTCATGAATGATACATACATAAGTATATTACCAATGTGCCAACTTTAGACATTAGTAATGTATCGATAATATTTTCTTGGACTAGTGTACAACTAAAATATGTCTTTTTGTGGATCCAAACACAGCTCAAAATGTTGAGACTTAGCCAAAGAAGAAGGCCTTACAAGTATATTCTTGAAGGCCTAAACCCAAGGCCTAAATATAGTTAGGAAGAAATATGTGCATTGAGTGTGCGAGGGGAAGGGAAGTTAGTTATGGTGAGAGAAAGTGCATCTGAATAAAAGGGAAGGTTTCTGATACGAACCAACCTTAGAAGACCTACAAAAGGGGTAAAAATAGGAAGATTTGGTCTTCAAGTGCTAATTTACCAGAATTACTTTCCCAAAATAACCCCCAACAGAATGGAAGGGGGGAGCATCAAGTGGTCATAGAGTTAGTTAAATAGGTGGAGGCAAAGGAGTGAGGTATCGAATTGGAGAATCTGGATTAGGACCCTTTTGGGAGGGAAATTTCTTCAATACAGCGAGAGTACCGAACTCGGTACTCCTTTTTATTAAATAGGTAAAAAAATTCCATTTTACTCCCTGCTTTTTTTTATATTTCCCATTAAGTCCCAAAAACTTTTTTAGTATGGATGTAGGTACTCCCGTTGTACCAAAGGTTTTCTCCTTTGGGAGAGAGTGGAGCCTCTCCAACTGCTTCACACTATCATTATCTTTCTGTATTTCATTTCATTTCCATTTTCCAGTTTTGTAGCCTGATAATTTTTGCTGTGAGATTTGAGGCTGTTATTGTCACTATATTGTATCTCAGATTTAACAGACATATTAATATACCAGAGTCGTATTTCATTTCCAGAGATCCTTGTGTGTTAATTTTACTTGTTTAAGTTGGTCTGTATCAATTTCCATGAGGATGGATCACGTTGGGTATAGTTCAACTTATAGCTTAGTGCCTAGGTAGTGACTGCTTGGTTGGGAACTTCGTTTCTTATACTTTATGTATTCAGAACCTCAATATCCATTAAATCAATCTCTCTTTAGTTTTGATTACATTAATGTGCACTCACCAGGAGCTTTTGAGTCCTCTCTCAGAAATTAGAAAGTGCTGCTGAGTAATTAGGATCAAATGGTGAGGTCGCAGACTCGACGTTGAAGGAACAAATGACTCAGCTGATAGACCATTCAACAAAGCTCACCTTCCTTCATAACTACTAACTAGCACAAGGGACATCACCAAGTCCAATGTAGCCATGCAAAAAGGAATCTAGCACCAACCGTGTTCGCCAGATCACCATTCAATGCATAGGAATCAGCAGAGTGCAGAATCAAGATAGCACCGGGAATCAACTATCTCTCACCGAGGGTTATTGTCTCACTGTAAAGCTTGTCAAATTTCTGGCCTTATATGGTGATGATCCTACGAGTGGTCTCTAGAGTCGAAGGTTATCTCGCATTCTCAGGCACTCCGCCAGAACTAAAGGTTCTTTTGGCTCAGATCTGTGTGGAGGGAATAACTTGGCATTGGTTTGAGATCCTAAAGGAAGCTGATCTGTCCTTGGATTGGAGAAGCTCCAACAAGCTTTGTTCAGGAGTATGCCTGAAGGAGAGAAGAGGGCCTATGTTTTCTATGTGGCCAACCTTCCTGGTCATGCATAGGTGCCTAAAAAAGAGTTTGAGTCACAATCTTGGGGAAGACGAGCAACTAGATGATGAGAAGGAGATTGTCCCGGTGGATACGTAGGAGGACGAAGCAATGGGTGATGGGGAGGCAGCAAAACAATGACCAGCGAAAGTTATTTTGCTGGGGAAACACCAACTCCCACCTTGAAGACAAGGTTCAACTTCAAGGGGGATGACATTGATAGGGTCCAAGGAATAGTTAGAATAGTTATAGAACTAAAGTGGTTGGGCAGTTAAAGATGTTACGCATAGGGAATTAGCTTAAATACTAGGAGAGGATAGAAGAGAGGCATTCAAAACAAAAGTGGTTAAAGTGGTTAAATTGCAAAAAGGGAAACCCTTGGATGGAGAATTCTCTCTTTTGTTCTTTGTTTGTGATTCGGTAAATCAAAACACAAGTGTTCTTTTTCTTGCTCTCTTCTTTGTTTCTCAGCTCCCTATATATGAAAATTAGGACTCTGTTTTGACATTACTAACAAAATAGCACCTCAGTCATTTTATGATTGTTTGACAATGGAAGATGCTTGTGGGTTGCTGGATTCTCATAATAGTAGAGGAGAGAAGTCCTTGCCCCTAACTAACTACTTTAATTCAAGTAGAGACTTCAGAGTACAAGATGGTCCCTTGTCTTCAGAGGTATAAGTTTCAGAGTCAGAAACAATCTATCTAATCCTCCAGATTGCTAGAATTGATGAATTGGTATAACTAAGTACCTTAGTGAGCTCAAAAGTTGATAATATAATTCCATAAATTCTCATGCAACCCTGAATTTGTCTTTTATTGTTCTACTTTTTGTTCAAAAAAATCTCAATTTCAAAAAACATAGCCACTATCATTCTACTCTAAAAGTTAAGATTGACCGAAGGAGAAAATCCCATTTGCAGAAGCAGAAGACGATGGGCCTTAGATGGGAGAGTTAAGAATTTTTATGTGACATTTAGGGACATCAACGTCACAGATGAAGAAATTGTTAGTAAAAATAAAAGCGAAAATTCTCATACAATTAAAATTAATAACACAAAAACAAGCTTTGAATATTTGATCAAATTCAAAGCAAACAAAGAAGCACAGGTATGGTTATGTGTTGATGTTTTGAAATGAGTTTCGGATAGATCAAATTCATTTAGGCTGTTCAGAAACAGAAAAACTGGTTTAAGTTTCAATGCATTTCCGAGAAGAGAGAGTCAGAAACCAAACAATACAGGAGCTGTCATTCCATATGTACGGGAGATGTCTCCAACACAGGTACACCTGAGAAAAAGGTGTATTATCTGCATGTCATATCATCGGTCAGTGATATCTTAGATTGCATAAGATGCATGTTATGGTATTTAAGATCCTCATGATTAGTATCACAACTGAAAACTACCTTACATTCTTAGACATTTGAGGTGAATGAGTAAAATGGCAATCTATGAAAGTTCTGGTGGGCATCACAGGATTGCATATTGCTGAGATATGGATCACATAAGCATATTGCTCAGGCATAAAAAATATTCAGGAACATTAGAAGCCGGAATGAGGATGATTGTGTGCCAAACACAATCGCTATGTAAGGAAGCACTTGAGATTGAATAATTGAATAATAGAATAATAGAATGAGATGAAGTATCTCGGAAAATTATGAAAAGTGTGTATATATTACTAGAATAATATATAGGACTAGTATAACAAGTTTGGAGTCAAAATAATGAGAACTGATGCCATAACTAATACTGACAGCGTGAAAATGCGTACCGAAAAAGTGTTGCGAAAAATTAAAATTAAAATATGACAAATCTTAGAAAAATGGCTAGGTTCAGAATATGAAGTTTGGGATTAAAAGGATAAGCGTAGCTATTAACGCTAATACTGTGCGATTAACTTAAGCGCACCTATAAATACCAAGGGCACATGATCCTAGGTCAGTTTCTTCACCCTCTACGTGACATTTCTGAACCCTTGGGTGGCAGCCAATCCCCTCACCTTCTTCCCTCCATTGAAGCACCAAGAGACCACATTTCCTCTTGGTTTCTTCACAAAAGTTCCTTGTATGAGTGTGCTCTTGCCTTGGGTGGGTGAAAGTCTTGGCATTTCTGAGTTTGGTAGCCTCTCTTCTTGAGTGTGTGAGGGCTGTTTTCTGAGTGGTTGGAGAGGTGACTGTAAAGAACCAATTCAACCAAAAGCTTAAGCTATTGGGTGAGGCTACATTAATGGTTTTATATATCTCAACACGTCCCCTCACACGAGAGCCCATTGGGCTTGAAGGGTGGACGATGCACAGGCCCACCTACCTGTGCGAAGAAAGAAATTCCAGTATAAAGAAAATGGGGGGCGGTGAGGATCGAACCTAATACACCGAGGCTCTGATACCATGTAAAGAACCAATTCAACCAAAAGCTTAAGCTATTGGGTGAGGCTACATTAATGGTTTTATATATCTCAACAGTGACCATTTACTTGGCATTTGAAGCTTCAAGGTGCCATTTTGGTGGAGAAAGGACCAAGCTTTGGTCACCATTTCGTGGCTTTGTAGAACCTGACTTTTGGGACAGATTTGAGAGCTCCAAGAGCATATTTTTCTGCTGATTTTGAGCCCCCATAGGTATACCTTAAACATTCCCTTTGAAATTTCATGAAAATAGCTTGTTTGTGTCATGAAAAGAGATAACTTTAATCATTCAAGCTTAGGGTTGTTAATCTAGGGTTAATAAGTGATAATGAATATCTGTTTTGGGTCAAAACCAAATCTTGGATCATTGGTAGCCATTTTCACTTTGGATTATGCAGAAATTTTTTGAAGAAATCTGTTCTGCCCGCGTGGTAATCGATTACTTTTCGTTGGTAATCGGTTACCATGTTCAGTAATCGATTACCCTGTTTTTGGTAATCGGTTACCATGTTCAGTAATCGATTACCCTGTTTTTGGTAATCGGTTACCATATTCAGTAATCGATTACCCTGTTTTTGGTAATCGGTTACCATGTTCAGTAATCGATTACCATGTCCTTGGTAATCGATTACCCCCTGTGAAAATGACCAGAAACCAGTTTTAATGCGTGGGAAAGTCCCCATTTGGGCATGATGTCCTAGGAAGCCTGTGTTACTGTTGGGAAACAGTAATACCTTTAATGGTGGGGCTTAATGCTTGATAATTATGAACTAGAAAAGATGAAAACGAAAGAGGAAATGTTGTCATAATGAAATGAATCCTTTAGAGTATGGATATTGATGATGTTTCTGGTATACACAGACTGTGATTATACTGTTTGGTGACCTTGGGCCAGTGTGAACTCTTGGTTTGGACGGATAGCTTGAGAGGTAAGCTTTCGTGTCCTCGGTTTAGCTATTGTTGGTTCCACCATACCCCATGGGGGGATGGTTTATATGCATGATGTGTTTTCATGTTTTGATATTTGAAATGTTGTTGAGCTCTTTGTGCAAGTGCCTTATGATATGCATGAGTTGTTCCACCTAGACGGTAAGCCTAAGTATGTAGGAGACATACAATAGGGTGATTCTGTAGGTGGGTGCAAATGGTGTCTTGCACTGATTGTAGATAATAGACTGATGTAAATCCTGCATTTCTCTGGCGAGTAGAATAGTTGACACACATGACATGATTATTCTGCTGCATTGCACTGATTTTGGAACTTATATTGTTTTACTGTTTTTAGAACTTATATTGCACATGTAAGTGAGCTTGGGGTGGAGAGACCCTTGAGGACCCCTTGCCTTACTGAGATTTCTTTTTAGAGATCTCACCCCACGTTCGGAGCACATTTTCAGGTTCAGGTATCTCGAGGGTTGAGACCTCGGGCGGCAGGAGGCCGGAGCTTAGTTGACTATTTATGCATGCTGATTATACTACTATGATTGGATGTTGGTTATGTTTACTGCCTTTATATGGTTATTTGACTTGAGACTCTGTTGGGCTTTGTTGCCTTATTTGGTGAGCATGGGGGTTGTCCATGCCACATTGATTGACTATGTTTTATTTTAGAATTGAGTTGTATAATTGTATCAGGATATTGTCCGGACTACGTGTTGTAGTTCCGCGACTTAGATACTCACTTATTTATGTTATGAGGTTATTCAGTGTATTTAACTTTTATTGCAATTTACATACAGGCAATGTTTTATGAAAAATGATTTAGTAATTAACTTGGTAATGATAATGACGTCATAATTGAAAAGAAAAAGTTATTTCCGCATTTTTAATTAAGGGTAGCTTAATACGATGACATGATAACAAACCGGGTATACACGGGGTGTTACACTACGCCCACAAAATACGGGACTATTCTATTATATACACTGAACTATTCTAACAACTACTCTAACACTCCCCCTCAAGTTGATGCGTATATATTGTAAGCACCCAGCTTGCCACAAATGTATTCAACCCGAAGACCTCTAAGAGCTTTAGTGAAAACATCCGCGAGTTGATCATTGGAGTTGACAAATGCCGTTTTGATTTCTCCTGACTGAATCTTTTCTCGAATGAAATGACAATCGATCTCTATATGTTTGGTTCTCTCATGAAATACAGGATTAGATGATATATGTAGCGCAACTTGATTGTCACAAATGAGAGTCATGGGTTGTTTCTATTCACAAAAATGGAGCTCCTGAATCAACTGCTTTAATCAGATTAGCTCGCAGGTAGCAATCCCACTGTACGATACTCGACCTCTGCACTAGAACGGGCAACAACAGTTTGTTTCTTACTTTTCCAAGAAATCAGGTTTCCTACAAAAAAGACATAATAGCCTGGAGTAGATTGCCTATCCGAGGGTGATCTTGCCCAATCGGCATCTGAATAACCACAAATTTTTGTATTTCCCTGATCTGAATATAATAAGCCTTTCTTTGGTGCTCCTTTTATGTACCGGAGGATCCTCACAGCAGCATCCCAATGAGAATCACAAAGAGAGTCAAGGAACTGACTAGCCGTACTAACAGCAAAAGAAATGTCCGGCCTAGTCACAGTAAGATAATTAAGCTTCCCAATCAACCCCCGATAACGTTCAGGATCAGATAATGGCTCTTCCTGTTCAGGTAGTAATTTGATAGTAGGATCCATGGGTGTATCAACCGGCTTACAACCCAACATACTAGTCTCTTCTAGGATATCCAAGGCATATTTCCTTTAACAAATAGAAATTCCTTGTCTAGACTGTGTCACTTCAATCCCTAAGAAGTAACGAAGCTTACCAAGATCCTTTGTTTGAAATTGATTGAACAAATACTGTTTTAACTAGTGAATCCCTGCTTGATCACTTCCAGCGAGAATAGTGTCATCAACATACACTAATAGATATATGCACTAGTCAAGAGATGTGAACCTATAAAACACAGAATGATCGACCTTAATGCGGATTAAGCCAAAAGCCTGAACAACAGAAATGAAACCGTTGAACCATGCCCGAGGAGACTGCTTGAGGCCATATAAGGATTTACGAAGTCTGCATACCTTTCCAGACTCCCCTTGAGCAACAAACTCAGGTGGTTGCTCCATGTAAACCTCTTCTTGTGAATCACCATGAAAAAAAACATTTTTAATATCTAGTTGAAGGAGTGGCCAGTGACGAACAACAACGAGGGCAAGAAAAATGCGGACAGACGCCATCTTAGCAATAGGAGATAACGTGTCACTATAGTCAAGACCAAAAATCTGAGTAAAACCATTGGCAACTAAGCGCGCCTTGAGACGATCAACATGGCTATCAGGCCCAACCTTAACATTAAAGACCCACCGGCAACCAGCAATAGACTTCCCCGGAGGAACAGGAACAAGATCCCAAGTGTCATTGGAATGAAAAGCAGTCATCTCATCAAGCATCGCTTGGCGCCACTCTGGATGGGAAAGTGTTTCACCTGTGGTCTTAGTAATAGAAATAAAAGAAAGACTAGAAACAAAGGTGAAATAAGTAATAGAAAGACGGTCATAGCTTAAAAAGGTATAAAGAGGATAAGGGTTACACGTAGTACGTATACCTTTTCTTTGGGCAATAGGAAGAGCCTCTGGAGTAGGAGCTGGAGGGGAAGAGGTGATAGGAGAAGGCGATGATTCATCAAGGGTTAAGTCCGCAGGAGGCACTTTCTAAGACGCTGATAGGTGAGAAAAGGACGATCCTCAGGGATGGAGGCACTTTTCTCTAGAAGAGAATCACCTACAACTGGTAAAAACAAGTCAAGAAAAGGAATAGGAAGAACCAGATCAACCTGTGGCAACTGAGATGGGTTAGAATGAAAGGGTTGTTGATCAAGAAAAGTGACATCAGCAGAAGCAATATAACGCTTAAGATCAGGAGAATAACAACGATAACCCTTTTGAAAACGAGCATAACCAAGAAAAATACACTTAAAGGCCCCGTGACGCACGACTCTCTCCAATCATCTTCCCCGTACCCAGATCCTGCACAGAAACAGAATGGTTAGAGAAAGTAATGGTGCAAGTGAGGGAGTGGACCAATTTACTAACAGAAATTAAGTTATAAGGGATGCCAGGGATGTAATAAACAGATGTCAAGGTCAAGGTAGAGGTCAGACAAGCTTGTCCAATCCCACGAATTGGGGCTTTGGTTCCATCATCGAGGGTAAAAGAAGGTAAATAATCAGAATAAGTAAGAGAAATAAATAGTTCCTTATTACCACAGAGATAATCGGTAGCACCTGAGTCAAATATCCAAGGGCCAAGTGATGTAGAAGGAGAAACACGAGCAACGGGATTACCAGTATTTGGAGCAGAAGGCTGAGACTGAGGAGAAGCCTTCTTGAGAAGAGTTTGGAGTGCTGCATATTCTGCAGGAGAGAGAGAGACAAAACCAGATGAAGGAGTATCTGACTGAACTATATTCGCAACATAAGAAGGTCGCAGGTAAAGATACTTCATGTAACAACCCTCCTCAAAATGACCAAGTTGCTAACAATAATTACAACGAGGTCTTTGACTACATCCACTGTTCCCGCGAGTGTCAGTACGAGAAACAAGATCCGGGGAATAAACAACAGAAGATGAATCATGAGCAGGAGATGATTTTTCCATCACGAATGTAATAAAAACTTGCAAAACAAAACAAATCGGATCAACTGGATAGTCGAACAAGAGGGAACACGTGCCAAACAAGTGACCCACGAAGAACCAAGAACAGATCTGGAAAGAAGAGGAAAAACCAAACAGTTCTTTTCTGAAATGACCAAAAAAGGATGTCGGAACAGTGTTTCCGGCGATGAATAGTAACTCGGCAAGTTGAACAGTGTTTCCGGCGACATGAACAGTGACTGCACGGACGTAAACAGTAACTGTACGGGGTGTGGACAGTGACTGTACGGACGATGACCAGTACTTCGGTGTGAACAGTAACTTTGACAGTTGCAGAAACAAGCCGGAAGGATGCACGGAGTAGAAGAAAACTTGCCAGAAGGATGCACGGCAAAGTAGAAGAGAATACCTAAGCAGTGGGCTTAGGGTTTTAGCGGAAGCGAGGGTCCCCAGAACAACCAGCTCTGATACCAACTTGAGATTGAATAATAGAATAATGGTATATTGAATAATTGTGTGTTACAATGTACAAGAGCTCTTTATTTAAAGAGACTACAAGAGCTAAGCCCACAAGACGTGGGTCTATTCTATTATATACACTAAACTATACTAATAACTACTCTAACAGAAGCAAACACTTTATCCACAAAAAAGGAAGTGGTTACTGATAGCTTTAGACCGCGTACAAGGAACCTTTTTTCAAATGATGGAAACATAATTGTGTACACATGTATAAACATAGATATATTTTGCAGAGCTTTCCTACCTGTTCTGCATGATTGATGGATTTATACATACATATATGCATTCAAAAAGAAGCAAATAACGATTGATTAAGAAAATAACGATTCATCCAAACAGCGCAGTACTAAATCATAAAGCCAATCCAATTTAGGAAGAAGAATTCCTCACCTGCCATCATAGAGAGCATCAAAAACGAATGAAACGAGGTGGTGATCAGGGTTGTGCTCATCAATCTCAAGCCGCAAGGTGTCTTTATGAACATTGACATAGTTCCTGATCTTCTTAGCAGTTTGATGATCAACATAAGGAGGTGGGGTGGATGATGCAGTGGCAGCAGAAGGACGAACTGCACCCCACCCACCACCATGATTCTGATTCACATAGAAAGGGTGGCAATGAAGGCCACCCATCATAGAGTTGGTATAGTTGTTGTACCCATTGGGATTGGTGTAATAGAATGAATGGTTCTGAGGAGGAGGTGGTGGTGGCAAAGCAGGGGGAGTGACATAGCTAGTTGAGTGTGGGGTGTAAGGTGTTGTTGACGGAAAAAAGTAACCTTGCGGCTGAGGAGGCGGCGGCGGCGGCGGAGGAGGAGGAGGATGAGATGCTGAAGAATAATAGTAAGGAGGTGGCAGTGCCGGTGGTGGAGGTGGGTTCTGAATGAAATTGTTTCTTCTTCTACTACTACTCCACGAAATACCCATGTGATTGATGAAATCGGTGAAGAAGAATAATAATAAGAAGAAGAAGAAGAAACGAGGTTTGGTGTGGTGTGTGTTTTGTTGAAGAAAAAGAGAAAAGTATAAAAGCTCTGAATTTGTTGCGTGCTCAATGAGAAATTGCGGTGAGGAATCCACTTTTTTTTTTTAATTCTTTATTTTGCAATTTCAATAGATTTCTCTTTGTTTTGCCCTTTCTTCTTCAGTGTTCCTTATTTTTCATTGTTTACTCTTTGATGCCTGGTAAAGGGTAAGGTAACCTAACCATGGCATAAAGCCTGGTTACCTTGCCATAAATCGCAACGTTGTTTTCACGTCACTTTTACTCTCTATTTTGTTTAACTTTTTATGAAATGAAAATTGGATAAATATATCATCAGAATAATATTTCTGCGTTAATACAAATAAATTATTTGTATTTATTTTTAAAATGATATCATTTTAATATTAAAAAATTAAATAATTATAATTATAAAGACTATAATACTCCTGAAATAAATTAAAATTTCAAAAATACCATAATTTCTGCTTTAAAACGACGTCGTATTAAATTTACTGCAGATAAATTATCTGCCGCAAAAAAGCGAATCCATATATCATATATATTTCACCTGACACCGAATATCATATATGACACTACATGATATTCCATCACATAATTTTAAAAATATTATATTTTTATACACATTTTGATAATAAATAATAATTTTAATTTATATAATATATATTATATTTAATATTCAATAATTTAATAAAAATAAAATTAAACTTATAATATTCATTAATTTTATAAAGAAATATAAGATATCTCAAATATCTATATTAAATTCAATAAAATAATAATCGTAATTCTATAAATTTAATAGTTGAAACTAAAAATCCAATGTAACGCAATTTTTAAATCTGTTATTAAGTCTCTGCAATAAATATTAAAATATAAAAAATATCAAAAAAAATGGAACACCATAAGTAAAAAAATTTATAGTTTCAGGTCGATCATAGCTAATCATTGTATTTGTTGTACTTGTACACCTATTAACGCGTTAAGTTTCCTTAACCAGTAGGATACCACTATTAGTCTACAGGATCTAGATGTATTGACTATCATAAAAGAATTCTTTTTTCTCTCCATATTTTGAATGTTTATTTTTAAAAAGAAAACATCTTCTTGGAAAATGTTATACTTACAATATATTTTTGTTTATAATTTTTTATAACCAATATCTTAATCGTTGATTTTCGTCAATCAACGGTTATTATTTTCGCAAATCAAACTCATTAATTAATATTTATTTTGCCATAAATGATAACCGTTGATTGACGGAAATCAACGGTTAAAATATTAGTTGTAAAAAGTTGTAAACAAAAATAAGTTGTAAGTATAACATTTCACTTATTTATTTATTTTTATCAAATTTTAGTTAAAAAATTATTATATATTTTTTTTTTTAATTTTGTTTAATTAATTTTATTTTTCTGATTCTTCTTTTTATCATTTATAAAATATAATAAAATATTTTTTAATTAAATGTTATTTAATTTTCTTGAAGTAATTATGTATATTTTTTTATAATTTTGAAAATATCTTCTAACAATACTTTTTATTTTATATCTTACCTAAATTAAAAATAGACGCTCAAAGCATCAAATATTAACTAGTTATATGTAATAATAGAATAATAAAACTAATTATTTTGAAAATAATTAATACAATTAAGTATATATTTTTTATGTAGAGATTATCAGTATATAAAAATATTATACCTAATTAATCTTAGTCAAGCTAAGTAAATCAATTTAAAAAAAAATACAAGACTTTAATTAAAAAATTAAACTCCCTTTTTTTGGAGATTATCTCTCCCGGTAATTTCATAGGTTTTCTCTGAACTAATCTGAAGTTCGAGCAAATATTCTTATTCTCACCTGCTTAATTCTTATGCTCCAGTTGAGTTATCATCATTTGATAAAAATTGAATTCCTTATCAACCCTATGATATAACTAAACTCTAAAACGTTAAATATCTTTTCAGAATTTATATATATATATATATATATATATATATATATATATATATATATATATTGGTTCATTTAAAAAATTTCGAGTGAAATTCAGATATTTTAGTATTTTTTTTATGAACAAAAATGAATATAAATTTAAATTTTTACATTAATAAGGAAACATAAATATTAAGTAATATGTTTTATTTATAATGAAACGTTTAATTTAAAATCTAAGCTTTAATTTTAAAGCTTTACAGCTACGAACAATCATTTTAGTTGATATGCTATTTTAAAGAACTTTTTTTTAAAAAAAAAAGTACAAACTAAACATTAATAAAGAAAGTAAAGTAGCTAGGATACTCCTCACCAAAAAAAAAAAGTAGCTAGGATACCAAAAAAAAGAAAGTAAAGTAGCTACTTCTATTTTCCTAATTACTTAACAAAGACAATATTCTTTTAGATTTAATTAAACTATTTTGGATCACCAAACCCGTAGATGAATTAGCACAGGTCAATTAATCTTGAATTAAAAAGAGTTTTGTCACAATGCTCCACTCAACCATATTAGTCAAATAATAGATGAATTGATGGAGAAATCTAAAAATAAAATACAAATTAAACTACAATGTTTGTTTAAAATATAATATTGATATCAATTTAGTTTTTAAGAATTAATGACATTTAAATCAATTTAATGAAATTTTAGTATACTATCAAAATAGTGTTTTTATTAAACTCAGCTTTAATGAAATTTTAATATACTATCAAAATAGTGTTTTTATTAAACTCAGATATCATCAGATTAATTTGATGTCATACATATTTGAAAAACTAAATTAATGTAATATGTATTTTTTAGAGCACCAAAAATGTTAGTTTGGCCTTTTTATAATTACTTGGTTTTCTAACAGTTGTCTTTCGAGAAACAGAGAGCTTCGAGAAAGCGAAATCCGCAACTCTGATCCGATTCCTCCGTCATCGGATCTTTCTTCAATCACCGTCTACCGCCGTTCGTCGTCGTCATCAACACCGGTAAAGCTATTCAACCTCCCCCTTCTCTTCTTCTGTTTTTTTTTCTCCCTTCCTCAATTCCCGGATCTGTTACAAACTGAATTGGCTCTGTCGAATTACCACCATGCAGTATATTGGAATTCCTTTCTGATTCGTTCCTTCCATTTTCACATTTTTGCATCTCTTTCAGAAGTTTTTGGAAAATTCAGTCTTATATATCATCAGTATTTGTATCATGCAAGTAGGTGTAGGTAGGTATATGAATGAAGCGACAGTGAGATCTAATTGATAAGTGTCAAATTAGATATAGTGATGTATCTTGCTATCCAGAAATTGCTTTATTGAAAATTTGAAAAAAAGAAAAAGAAGTTGTTTTGTGGTTTATATTGTTCAATCAGATTTGTGCATTGCCAAATTGAATATTGGAATTTTGTGATGCAACTCTTAAAATAGAAAGAGGGTATTTCTATTTAGAGTCATGCTTGTTCAAGGCAGCTTACAACCTGTACTTGCACAGGAACTCTGAATGTTAACGAAATTGTGAACTGATGATGAGTGTACGAGCTATCAAGTAGCATTGCATGAACTTCATATTCTTCTTAGTTCTATTCTTGAAGGTTGGGAGGGGAAATATAAAAAGCTCGTTTAAACAAGACAAGGATGTTTTCATTGTTTTATGGACTTTGGAAGTACCTGTTCAGCAAGATTGAACTTCATGTACTCATTCTGGGGATTGACAAGGCGGGCAAAACGGTAATACATCTTTCAAATGCCATATTTTAAAAAATTACTGAACTTTGTTGAGTTGCTCTGAATTGCTATGTAATACATAATTTTGTAGACTTTGCTGGAGAAGACGAAGTCAGTATACTCAAACTCAGAAGGCCTTTCTCCTGATCGAATTGTTCCAACCGTCGGATTGAATATTGGTCGTATTGAAGTGGCAAATAGAAAACTTGTGTTCTGGGACTTAGGAGGTCAGGTATGGGAAATAAATAGGCTGTATTTATCGTTGTAAGTTCTATAATTATGCTATTAGGATGAATTGTTGGTTTATTTTCATAAAGTAGTTTTATTCATTGATCCTAGCTTTATGAACTGCTTGCTAAAAATTTTTCATTCTAGAAATTGACGGCTTAAACAATAACCATCAATGGGGAGGGCAATGTGTAGGGTCTGGGGATGGTACTAGAGTATCCATGCCCATAACTGCGTTTAAGAAAAAGACCTGTACCCAAACCCATACCTTTACAAGTAGCAACTTTAATGCCCATAACCATACCCAATTGGTACTTATTCGGACCCAGATCCATTACCTGTGTTTTTGTTAAATAGAATATGCTCTCCCTCTAGGGGGCGTTTGGTTGAGGAAATGTTTTTGGAATAGTAGGGAAATGTAATAGATAGAGAAATGATTGGAAAGATAGATAAAGTGAGATAGGTAGAAAAATGTAAAAAAAAGTTGTTTGGTAGGGAAAAACTTTACTGGGAAAATTAGGTAACTTTATGAAATCAACAGTGCATTAAAAGTCAGATAACCGGTTTTCCGAAAAATCCCACCTTCAAATTGGGTTTCTAAACAGTGCGGATATCTATGTTTCTCATAAATCCAGACAAATTTGATAGATGGGTTTTTGGTGAAAATACGTTGAAACAAACATGGTATTTCTAAAAGCCATACTTGAGAAACATAGATATCCGCTGAAAAGCTCCCAACCAAACACCACCTTATTGTATCTCTCTCTCTTCTTTTTTTTAAGAACTAGTAAAAGAAGCTATTTTAATACGAAAGTTATCTGTGAAAAGTTAACAAAACAAAGAATATGAATATTTTATTATGTAATTAAAAAAATTTAATTATGTAAATATTTTTATTATACTCTATATAGTTGTAGGTATGGGGCTGGGTGGGTACTATAGTACATTAGTACCTAAATTTGTACCCTTTCCCACAAATCTTTGTGGGTAATTACCTCGTCCCAGACTCAAACTGATTTGAGGGGTAAAGACCCTACCATTACAGGTAATTTTTCCGAGTGTCCATGAGGTCCTAGTTTAATTGTCATCCTTAACCATCTACATAGTTCCGGAGATTTTTTTCTCTTTATATATTAAAATGCAATTAATGAAAGAACAAGAAACTATTTTACTTTTCAAAACTTTCTTTGGGAAAGCTATGCTATCTTTTCGAAATTAGCTGGTTTAATGTTTGACTAAATTTTGTTGTCTATTTTAACTTTCACAAATAATTAACAACTGCTACTTTGTTTATGGCTATATATTAGAACTGTTACTTGAAATATGCAATTTGGACCATCAATTTTACCCTTCCCCTGTCTGAAGCTTGAGTTCATTTGTTAAATTTGGCAAGGTCAAAGGAGATTTTGTAATTGAAAAAGTGGTCCAATATGCATGGACAAGGACAACTGATTCAGTACTTCATTTTTATTTGTAATCCTTTATGCTAGCAGGAATAGAATGTATCATTTGATGCAAAAGAAATACTTTACCCCCTTTATACTGTTTCCGCCCCTAATATTATGTTCTTTTTTATATTTTTTTTCTTTTTGTTGGGGAGGGGGTGGTATAAAATATGTAATAAGATATTAATATAAGTTCCCTCCTATCAGCTTGGTCTTCGCTCAATCTGGGAGAAATATTATGAAGAGGCCCATGCTGTAATATTTGTTGTTGATGCTTCTTGTCCCACACGCTTTGAAGATGCAAAGTCTGCACTTGGTTAGTGAGATTTGATTATAGTATTTTTTTAAATAAGTAAATATCTTCTTTAAGGTGTTGGCTTGCAGTTGCAATAATAGTAGATATGTGAGAATCAAATAGCACAATGATGATTTAATAACTGACTTGTTTACCAGAAAAGGTGCTTCGGCATGAGGATCTACAAGGAGCCCCTCTTTTGATATTAGCAAACAAGCAGGTAGTGTAACTATTCTTTCACTGTCCTGTATAGCCGTATAGCATGCCTTATACTCTAATGAACGGGTCAAATAATTCTAATATAGTTGAGTATTCATTCTTTTCTTTTCTTTTTATACAAGTGAGAATTGAACACATAACCTAATACAACCTACCCAAATCCCTCAACACTAGACCAATCATAGTGGCTTGTCCAGTATTCATTCTTGTTGCTTTACATGTTTAGTGTCTTGTTTAATATCCTTATACCTTGAGGTACCATTTCTTCCTATCTGAGCACTAGGCACCTGTATGGTTTACAAGATATTTTTCCTTTTGGTTTTGGAAAGATAAGAGATTAGCAAATGCTTTGTTACCAATTTGATTTATATAGCCTTACAAGATTATAAACTCTTTCACCATTATTGTCTACATTCTCGGTTTCCTAATTTTTATTATCCTCCTCCTTCTCCTTGTCTCTGTGAATTGACACAGTGATGGTCGCTTGCTTGACATTCTTGTGATTGCAGGATCTTCCTGAAGCAGTATCAGCTGAAGAACTTGCTCGGTATCTAGATTTAAAAAAGCTGGATGAAAGAGTTTACATGTTTGAAGCTGTGTCAGCATATGATGGGTAAGTAGGAAGTTTTATCAACTTACCAAAGCTTGATCTCTGATGATCCATTACCATTTCAATAAAGATGGAGATATCTAAAGTACATTTTCTTCGAAGTGAAAAATAACTGCAAAGTATATAATGAAGCACTAAACTAAAGGGGGTCTGTTTTGAAATGTTGCAGGATGGGGATTAGGGAAAGTGCAGAATGGTTGGTGGAAGTTATGGAGAGAAGCAAGAGGACTGAAATGTTACGAGCGCGGGCAGTTGCAATGGGGCCAGGTCCTGCCTAGAAGGGTCAAACATTAAACTGAAGCGATTTCTCCATTCCTTTAGAGATTTGTAAATCCAAATTGGAGTATACAGGATTAAAAGTCATTGAGAAAAAAAAAGGGAAAAGAACAACTTGGTGCTACATTTTATGTCATGATTTAATCTATAATACAGCCATTTCATATGAGAGGCTCAGCCTCCAGAATCTCATAAAGCAAGTTTCCTTCAGACATGCCCTATGTAATCAATCTGTCAAGTGCTAGGCTGGAGGGTTTTCTGCTTCTTCCTCCGTGCATGCTTTTGTCAACTCTAGATTCTATGGCTCGTATTTGAATGAATTTAATTTACTTTCCTATCTGTAACATTATATAGGCACTGCACTGCCGTACAGATCCTGATATTGATGCGGTATTGTGTTAAATACAAGTTCAGAAGATTTATGGTACGCAGGGTACACTTTGGGTGTAGCCGAACTTTATGGGAGTAGTGTGATAGGAGTTGAGCTACTTACAATTGATTTCAATTAAAAAAAGAAAAATTGTGATTTCATTGTGAATCATTCGAGAGGTTCGAGGTGTGGAAGGTTTATAAAAGGTAATGTTGGCAAGTGAGATTCTCAAGATCAGCTTTTTTAGTGATTCAATCGCCATTATCATTTTGCAAAACGTGTATGACATTTTGTTTTCCCTTTCGAGAAACATAGGTATGAAATAGAAATGGATCTTTCATGTGTTATTGAATATAATTATGTTATGTGAGAAGATTTTAATGATTAATAAACAAATCAACGGTAATAATTTTAGAAAATTTTATCTTAATATTTTTTTTTATCTTATTATTATTAATTCATACTTATATGGTTATAATCATTTTCTTTGACATAATCATATTGAATAATATATGTGAGGATTCATCTCATATGAAATAGATTTGTATTCATGTTCCCAAGTTCCAACTTTAAACTAATGATTGTGATATTAGTGGCTCGGTTTAACTTGACCTGACCCTAATTTAATATGCTGATTATGCTAATTTACGGACTAAACCAAGCTAGTTGAAACTAAGCAAATCTGATTTTTAAACAAATTGTACATATTTAAATATTTTGTTTAGTTAAGTCAAAATTTTAAAAATAAGAAATAAAAATAAAATGAATGTTTTACAATATATATTGTGAAACAAATTATATTTATAAATATATTACCAGTTTATGCAAAATTATTAATTTCATTCACTCTAATTGTCAGAAAAAAAAATTATAAATTTTTATTTGTGGCTTTAATATAGGTTAGACCAACTTAAAGCGCGACCAAAACCTGATCTCAAAATATATCGCGTCTAATCCAGAGCAATTTCAATTATCCTTAGGCTAGGAGGAATTATTGGGCTAGGAGGAACACCCGATAGAGATGTCATCCTCTGCTTCCAATTAGAAATTTATAGATTAAGTTGCTGGATGAGTTTACTTGACTTTCAATAAACCAATGAATTTGTTGCTGAGAACTGAGAAGGTTAGGGTAAGTTGACAAATATATTATTCACTGTTCAAGAGAACTTATGATGATCTATCTCTGCCAGATTTTTAGCATTTTTACTTTTTAGTAGAGTTTTACTCTTATAAGCAAATGGTTGGTAGCCTTGGATATCAGTATAACAGGGGCCGCTGAGCACAATTTACAGAATTTCAGTGCCTTTGATAGGGAAAAAAATTTAGTGGTCCTGTCCCGTGTGCTTCTTTCGTTGAGAATTTGACACTTATATAAAAATTTCTTTTTACTCTTTTTTCTCTTTTCTCTCCCGATTAATTGTCACATTTTTATTGATTTGGACCACTTAAAATTTAATGTCAAAACTCTCCTCCTTTGATAGTATAGTGTATACACACTTGACCCTTTGGGTCAATCCATGTGTTTGAAAAGTGTAGGTGTGCACCAAACCTCATAAAAGTTGGAGTAAAATAAATCTTTTATATGGAAATCCATTGAAATAAATTTGACTCATACATGTCCTACTCTTTTAACAAACGTTCTTTGATTCTTCTCTGCATAGTTTTTTGTACAGTCAAAAGTTTTTTTTGTTTTTTTTAAGTATTGTAATTTCAGAAAAGGATAAAAAAAAAAGGGCAAGAATTTTAATAGAATCTAAGGAGAAATATTTCTTGGTACCACACAAGTAATCAAGACATTAACAAAGTAAATCCATTAGATTTCAACTATGATTCATCCTCCGATTTGTTTGTCAATAATATTCATCCCAATTGACCATGTGTCATAACAAAAACAACTTAAAATGTGCCAAAAACCAACACTTCAAAGGTGCAGTAATTAAACATAATCATCGACCATTGCATTCTGCAATTAATAAGACCCAATAAAGGAACTTAAAAAGCAAGAAGTAAAAATGTTTCCCATCCATGAAAAAAACTTAACTTATGAAATAAGCTAGAGTTAAATTCATATTCAGCAGAAATCTGACCTAGTCCTCTTACGAACAGATATGCAACCTCTCTGCTGATCCCTTAAGATCCTGATCTCAGAAGAATCCCTCAAATCCTCAAGGCTAATATACTGCTGCTTAACCATCCTTAAGGAATCACACCCTATATCATGAATCCAAATATAAGGGTGGCAAGTTTCATCATAATAATACAGCAAGCTCTTCAATCCCCCACTATCACTGCCACTCTTACAAGGCATATAGGCCTTGTATATGCGTTTACTTTTCACTCTCTTAGAAGACCCTGGCTTCAAAGTGTGAACCTTCTTCAGTATTGACCCCACTCTTATCTGCAGCTCCACTGGCCTATCACTGAGGTTCCAGATCCTAGTCCCTAATCCATAGGCTTGAGTGTGGTCACAGCAACTATCAAAGCAACCACCAAGAGATAGAAGGCTGAAACCTAGCACTTTCTCCATCAAGGACTCGAACTTCTTAGTCATCTTAAGCTAACAACCCCTGTATATATTTTTGTGCTATAGAAGCTTCATTTATATGCATATAACAAGCACAAAAACATGCCCTTGTAATAAATTAAAGTTGAGTTCTTTTGCAAGTTTTGTCAATGTATCAAGGTCTTTAACTCTTTCTTGTGGCTCACCCAAGAGTTGGTAAGCGTTTTCTGTGGTTGTGATAATAAAATAACATAAAACAGATTATGTAGAGATGTGCACTTTAGAACACTCACTATGATAGAATACTGTTTGCTTATCCCTTCCATCAAGGAAATGGTAGGGTCCCATAAATCCCCCATATTCAACACAAGAAGACAGTGAGAAAGTTTACATGTGCTGACAAAAAATTTAAAAATTCCCAGAATGGATTTTCCTTTATTTTTTGGGTAGGAAAAAGAGGTTATTGGCTCCCATACAAAGCATTCACAGATTCATGATGAGGCAGCATATGATGTTGCCTCACCTTTTATCATAAGGGTCGCCTTTTATTTAATTCAAGTTTCAAAGTAAACTACTAACTTCCTTTCCAATATGAAATGTATTCTAGACCAGATGATGATAGTTCAGTTGTCGCATGGAAGCTAAGCAGGTGGGAGTGAGAGCATGTATTTGAATCTTTTCAGTATCATTTTTGGGAAGAGTTTAAAATCTTAATCCTACACTCGCCCCGAATCGAATTAGTTGCAAAGCAATGAACCGATTGAAATATTTTAAATAAAAAAAAATTCATTCCTTTTTCTTTTTTCTCTCTCCCTTCTTTGTTTTTTTTTTTTTTGGGGTGAATTGGGTTCCTTTTTCTGTGATATATATTGATCTCCAACTCCAATTTGGACTGCAGTTCATAGTCAGTGGAACAGGGTGTCATGAGAATGACCGATGATGAGATATTTGGAGCAAAACATAGGTGTGATGGTTAAAATTGCAATACATGATAATTTATTTATCTATGCAAAAGTCTTTTTTTCTCTCCTTCGTTTGACATATAAATGGAATAAAAAAAAAAATAGCAGGGGAAATGCACATATATATAAATAACATAAAAACATTTAATTGTTCATTCTTATGTGATTTTTTTTTTTTTAATTTGGTCTTTATAAATAAAGATTTATAATTTAGTTCCATCGTTTTTAAATTTGTTTCCGCAGTTTATAACACCGTGAGAGTACTATAGAATTATCGTAAAATATAAAGATCAAATTTAAAATCATTATCATTTATACGGATAAAAAATAATATTTTTAAGTTTCCATACACACATGACAATTGTTTTTCTTAATTTGATCCGTATATTTCATTATTTAAATTAAGCTTGTTATAAAAGTAACAAATAGAGAAGATTAATTAAATTAAAAACTAGTATACATATAAAAATTAAGGGAAAAAAAACTTCTTATGCAGAAGGCTATCCTTCTATCACTCTTTCTTGAGTCTCCCCCAACTTCTACAGTAACAACAGAAGTTACAAACTCAAAAACTAAAGTATGAACTTTTTCATAAGAAACAAATGAACAAAATATATGTTAACCTCCAATAAATAGATTATGGCTAATATGTTATTAGACATAAAACAGAGGAAAGTACAAAAATTAGATATTTATTCTGATTTTCAAATATTCAATGCAAATACGCATGCTATGATATGCATGGCAAGTTGGCAACTATGTTACGTGATATCTTAACTAAAAAATCCGTGTTATGGCATCTAACGACAACCATAGTTTTGTTGTGACCTAATCCTCGCCATTTTAGGGAATTACCTACCTAGTGGTCCAATTGCAGATTATTTTCTACACACGAGTCATAACAAGGGGTTGTAAGGGATTGTTGTGTTACAACCCCGCCACCTCCTTATCTGCGCTAATTTTCATATAACTTTTTTCGTTTGTAATTGTTTTTTTTTTTGTTTTTTGTTTTTTGTAGGCTTTTGTAATTGTTTTTAATCATATATATATATATATATGTTGCTTGTGATTCCTTTTTTTATTTACTACAGTTATGGATATTCAAATTGTACATAGACTGTTGATATGACTCTCTCTATATATATATATATATATATGCGGTAGCTATACAGCACAATCTGTTTATAGTTTATGACAAAACATTGTATAAATAATCTTAACTCATTGATTTAATTTAATCCAATAGATATTTCCGATCCTATAACCAAAAATCTGATACGATATTTACGATCCATAACAAAAAAAATTGTAATAAATATATTCCAAGTCAAGGTAGGACTGATCTTATGGCCATCCATTGACACGCATAGTTTTGTTGTGACTTGCTCCTCCCCTTCTTAAAAAATTACCCAGTGGTCCAGTTGCAGAATATTTTCTATGCATAAGAAAGGGGGTTGTTATCTCTTATACTTGGCATTATGTAGCAAATTGAGTACACATAAACTCAATGTAGGTATACAAGTGATTTGTTTATAATTTATTTATATATGCGGGAGATTGATTCACGGAAAACCTGTTATATAAATTCATTGCTTTAATTTGATCCAATGGATCAAAATCCTACACTACACCAATAATAGCAGGCTATCCTTCTACAATGAATTCATATGGAAGGTGAGGAACTTTACTTTGATTATTAGAAAAGGAATTCTATGACAATAATTTGGCATGACAATTGAAAAACCAGTCTGCAAATGCTTGGGAAAAGCGTGAGGATTAAAATAAAAGGCGTAGGGTTGGAACTTGGAAGCACCTGTTTATAACCAAACTGCAAGCGTACTTCACGTAATACATAGTGGGGTAATAGTTGAAGACCATTGATAAGTCACATTCACAATTACACTATAATAGTCTGATTATTACACGAATTTAGATATACCTTCCAAAGCTTAAAAGAACGGTTATTAAAAAAAAAAGGTCAAAAGATCATTTGATCCTTAAAGAAGCAATGCGATTGATTCATTACTCTATTCAAATTATCCGTCATAAGTGTAGCTATTCAATCACTAGAGAATCAACATTAGGGTTTCAGGGGATATAATTGGACAATTGGTCATATTCCATTACATTTTTTAGACCCGCTTATAAAAACAATAATAATAATAATAATAGTAGTAGTAAAATAATATTCATAATTGCATTTCTAATTAAAATTGTAGTAAATTATAGGCCTCAATGGCTAAATCCTTAGAATTCCTACATCTCAAAATCCTAATTGCCAAGGACTCGAATGCAATATAAATAACAGTATGAGAGAGAATAGAATCTAGAATGTCAACATCAAGTCATAATATGGCGTGAAAAGTACAAAATAATGAAGAGAATAGGAAGCATGAACTTTTCTGCTGTTGACAAAAAGATACATATTAGTCAATAATCTGATCTTGATTGCAGGATTAACCAGTTCTGCCACAACTATATTTCTAATGTTGAAATTGAAACTGTACAAATCACAATTAAACAGGAGAAAGCAGCTACCGCTTAAACTTTAAATGTAAGCATATCAGTTAGAAAGGTAGGGTGGAGAAAGAATTTACACAAAAAGGGATTTACTTTTCATGACTGTCTTCTTCAGTAGGATCTATCTTAATTATGAGAGGTTGGTTAAGATCTGCAGATGGTTCAGCAACAATGGGTAATTCTGGCGAGGGCGTAATTCCATCAATATCGTCATGTTCAGCCAAGGCTTTATCTAGAGCAGACTTGGCAACTTTAGTAACAAGTATCATCAGAACCACTGCGCATAACCCAAAATAACAGAGTTTAGCCTGGCTAATCAAATAAACTATTGTAACCTTGTTCTCGTTCAATACAATTTTTGAGCAATTCAACTCCTCTTCCAAGCTACAATCAAGTGCATACTATAAATCTTCTAATTTAATAGTCTTTTTTGTAATTTTTTTATTTGTAAGTTGTGCAACACATTATTTTAAACATATTAATGCAAAATAAGAAAAATACAAATAAAACAAAAACTAATTTAAGTGAAAAACTTGACTGATGATAGAACTCATCACACACATTAAAAATTGTTTGAATCCAAAACAAGTAAAAACATGGGGACAAGTTAAGGCGATGACTATAACTAAACATTTATGTACTAGGAGATAGACAATTTTATTCTTACCCTCATTTGCCCACACTACAATTTTAAGTCATTTTTTCTTTCTGCCACAAAGAATAAAGTAGTTGCAGGAACCCAAAAAAGGAGCCCCTGAAAACAAAGTATGGGGGAGAGTCTCAGCCACCCATCTGCTACTTGGTCATAGCATCTGCCACAAATGGCAGCCACTGAGCTGGTTGCAGACAAAGCCAGACAACCACCCCATTCAAAGAAAATAAGAGCCAAAGAATAAACTAAAAAAAAGAAAAGAGAGAGCAATTTCGTATGAAGTCACAGGCTAACTGAATGTCTTCCAAAAGACCAGAGGCTTCCAATATCTTGTTTTAGACTTTTAGTAAAGTTCGAAGGATTTAGAATTTTTATTTGCCCTAAATCCTGAGGAGATTTAAAGTCTGGCTGTGATTTAAATGTTGCACATGAAACATGCAACATAAAATGAGGTGCAATGATGCATCACATGAGTAAAATGGAAGTCACATTGTAACAGGGGTTGCACCTTGCAGGGCACAATTGATCCATGGCAAAGGAAATTAGTAACTATTTATATTCTATATTTATGCAAGACCTTCAAAATCTATATTAACAAAAGGCAAACTACATCTTCTGACAAACCTGCTTACCACAAACATATTATCTAATAAAATTTTCAAGCACATGCACTACGAGTGGAAACAAAGTAACTCACCAGATATTACGAGTCCAAAAATGATAAACGCCTGCATCCACAAGAAAAAGAAATGTATATTATATCACTGAAGATGATGCGATAAAGCATGCCTATTTGATCCGGCCAAGAAAATCAAAAGATTGCACCCTCCAAGGCATCTTAATGTTCATCAATAAGAGAAAACATAAAACAAATCTAACAAGAACTTGAAAGGCTAATTAATATAAGTAATACAGGATAGCATCTCTTACCCAACGAGTCTTTGAGAACTCACTCCAACCATGAGTCACATCAGAAAGATCTTTAAGAGTTGTCCCAACATATACAAGTGCCAGGGTTATTGGCTGCAATAGGAACAGTATCAGGTACTAACGTACTGCAGTAATTGGAATGCTATCTGGTGAGCTAAGAACATATGAACTGTAGTTTACAGTGCAAACTACCAGATTTCTACCGTCAATTCAAAAGGGGAACAGAGGTAATACTAAATTACCAAAAGTGTTAAACTAACTTGTGACAAGAATGAAGACAACATGAGCACCACTTGTTCATAGATTTATTCACCAAGAGAAGTTAAGCTACATGATCATAACAAGATATATGCTTCCTCAAACCTAATTTCAAAGTCAGAACTGATGCTCATAATCATATATAAGTATGCCAACAACATAAGCAGCAAGCATATAAATCACAGGGTTGACAACAGCTGGAATGCATTTATGGATCCCACCCTTAGCATAGACCACAAATGCAATCTCAAACATATTGCTACAAAATCATTTTACTGATATGCACCTGTGTAGTAAGAATAGCATGATTCGACCATTCAAATCCCGAGTTATTAATTAGAGATAAGAGAGGAGTGATATGTATTTTCACAAAAATACATTAAAGTCATTTGACTATGTAACTCGAACCTTAATTTGCTGAAGGTTTTGGACTTTTAACTTTGGGTTACATGATGAGTTATTTAGCTTTTCAAGTTGATATTTGTCATTTTTCAAATTCATTGAATCATATATTATTATGTGGAAGATGCATTGTATGCTATTTTTGACATTGAGTTATTAATCTTACAATTCACGATTTGGAAAATTAGCCTTCTGATTCTTAATTCAATTCATGATTTGACAAGCATAATATGCACAACCATGAAGAATGTGTTTTTGATGGGGCACTACAGTCAACCAAAAGCAAAGGGTCTTTTTCCATTTTTATTTGGGTACGAATCAAAAGGAACAACTCTGATAACTTTCAAAGGTTTCAAGTTCACCATTAAGATTCTGCATTTTTTTTATTGCAAAAATCCTTCTAGAGAAATTCATTAGTAAAGAGCAAGCAAGAGAGTGATTGTAATAAGAAATCCAGTTAACACAAAACAATTTTAAAAATCATAAAGCACGATAGAATAGAATAACTCCCAAATATATAATTGAGCAAGGTCGAAGAAGATACCATCATTCCTAACCAGGAAGCCAGCATGTATTCCCCTATTGAAACAGGAGTCACCGACAAGAGATAATTTAACATGTTAAATGGAAGTAGTGGAACAAGCCGAAGTAGCAACACAATCTGTAAGGACAGATGAGGAAATTAAAAAATAAAAAATTCAGATGATAAATAACAAAAGGAATACCACATCACAGGCAAATAAAACTAAGCAAAGAAATATCAGAATACTAGACTTGTTGAGCAATAACTAGATTGGGATTAGATAGTTTTATAAACACTTGGAGGAAAGGTGGTCTCTTATTTAATAACATACAGCCTTATACCCAAACCAAATAACTGGAGACAAAGGTTGGTGCATGTTGCTTCAGATGCACGTTATAGCTTACTACCCAAAAGGATCCTTTTCACTGATGCATTTATAGTTCCACTAAATATTAATCTAAACAATTAAGATCTATATCTTGAGTAATATTTATGACCAATAAAAACAGAGGAGTATTATTTTGTGCACTGGCCTCAAAGGAAACCAGAAGATGGACGTACAGAGCTAAGCAAATTATACACTGCACATGGGCTGATGCCACTAAAGAAGAGACATCCACACTTGAGTGAAGCTGATTAACATTAACCAACATACCAAGATGACCTTCAATTAGAAAGTATATTTCTTGCTCATTTTAACAGGAAATCAAGGTTTTTGATAGAGCTCAATGGCATCAATTATCCATGTAAAAGAATAGGCTTGGTAGTTGTTTTAACAGGCAACCAAACAATACTATTTTAATACTCCAAAAATACATGAATGCTAAAGTATAAATAATTTCATAACCCACTCCACCAAGAACGATGAGTTTGGAAACAATAATCCCAGAAAAAAGGGGGTCAAAACAAGAGGAATATTAGAAAGTAAAGACTTACAGACTCAAGAATTTCACATAGTATCAAACAATATGAAGTCTACAAACCTTAAAGCCAGATCTACGAATTGCAATTGCCACTGATCTAAATTGCGGATAATCCTTCAACTTAGAAACAACAAATGATCTCCCAATCTGTACAAATTCACAAAGATATGAATAAGTAACCTAATAGGATACAAATTACTATACCAAGGTATGGAAACAAATGGATCAAAATGTAACCCAGTTGAAATGCTAAGGAAATTGCGAAAATCATGCATATGAAGAAATAGCACCTTGTACTAATCAAGAAAAACCTCGCATCAATCAACTGTTCAGTAACAAGTAGTGACCAAAACATTGTTTTATTTTGACAACTAATAAATTTTAAACTTGAAAAACTTACAGTTCGACCAAGAAGAAATGCAGCTCCTGCACCAACAGTTGCACCAATAGAGTCAGCAACAAAGCCCACTGGAAGCCCAAAAAGATAACCACCACCAAGCTGAAAATGGAGTATCAAGTAAAGTGACTCAACAAATTTATTTTGAAGTTTGCTTTTCTATGTTTTCTTCTTCTCAACCAGGTATTGTAATGGAGATGGAAAATAAAAGCATTAAACGGAATAGTGGGATAAAATAAAAATTACATACCAAAAAGTCATAAGCATGTAGAAAATCACAAAAGACTTAAATAAGAAATGACAAATGCAAGTCCTCACCATTGTGAAAATATTCTATTGACTACCTTTTTTTTTCTCATTATGACGCATGCTTCCTACAAAATATTCTATAGAAGAGCAATAAGACTTGTAATGTTATATGAAGCTGAATGTTGGCCAACACATAGGCAACATGAGCATAAAATAGGAGTAGCAGAAATGAGGATGTTAAGGTTGATGTGTGCTTATACGAGGATGGATAAGATAAAAAAATAAAGATTCGACGAAAGATAGGAGTGGCACAAATAACTGAAAAGATGGAAATAGGAAAAAGGGCGATTTTCGCGGTTGGAACATAGATTGAGGAGGTTTGGGCACGTAATTAGACGACCCATGGATGCTCCCGTAAGAACAAAAGTTTGTTACTAAGAGCTTGACACAAAGAGAGGTAGAGATAGACCAAAACTTACCTTGGGAAAGATAGTTAAACAAGATTTAATGGAGTGGGATATAGATTGGCTGAAGGTGTGTCTTAGTATGGAATGAAGAAAAGCTATAAGCAGAGTGAAGGGTTAGACCCGTTGTTATCTCTATGTTCCAAATGGTCCCTTTTAGTCCTTCTCCTCTTCATCCCCCCCCCCCCTCCTTCTCTTTTTTTTATCGTATTTCCCCTTCCCCATCTTTTTTTTTTTTTCGTATCTATCATTGGGTTCATCTACCACCGACCCCAATTAGCTTGGGTTAAAGGTGTTGTTGACGTTGATGTTAATGTTGATTGACGCATGCTTCCTTAATCCTGAGTTACCTATCATTCAACCTTTTAATCTGAATAACATCTAATTTCAACCACTAGAGCTAAAAGAAAATGATAACCTTTATGTACAAAAAAGGAAAAAAAATGATAACATCTCTAGAATTTATACAGGTAACATTAGGCGTGGCAATTTAATTTAAAATAATAAAAAAACTAAGAAAATCTTAATTCCTAACACTAACTCTCAATTTCAAACCCACTACACAATCTCTCCACAGCAACCTGCAGCCTCGAGCCCCCACCCCACTCTCAAACTCCTCTTCTATTCTTCAAACCATAAATCCATTCTCCCTTCATATCACTCTCTTCTTCGAGCTGCTAGCTTCCATTGATGCTCAACCAGCACCACAGATCTGTATTCATTCTCCCTTCTCCAGATTGCTCTCGTTCAAGTAGTCCAGCACTTTCTGCCATTGCAGTACTATTCCGGCCATCCAGCTGTTCACCACTCCAGCCTTCCAGCCACACCACAGCACCTCTCCTCCATTCCCTCACCGTTCCTCCATTTAATCTCTGTTCTCACTGCAGCAAGCAATTTTTGGAACAGATAAAGCATATTTAGCATTTGGTGCCAAATTTACATTGAGCTCAACAGGATAGGAACCGAAAATTACTGGAACAGCACTTTTTGTTTGAATCAATTGAAAATTCAGAATTGTCTTTGGTGCATTTTGGGACAGATAAACTTTATACTCTTCCTCTGGTCTGTGCTTATTTCTTTTTTATTTTTTTTATTTTTTTGACAATTTCAGGGTTCCGCTTGGGGAGTTGGGGAACAGGGGAAAAAAAATACCTTGCAGCAGGGATCGCAGAAAGCAATGGGGGGGCAAGAAATAAACCGGGGAGGTACTCCCCACTCCCACTCCCACTCTTGCTCCCACCCCGCGCAGGTGTCATCCATAAGTAAAATGATGAGCCACGACAAATTCAATTTCCAAATGCATAAAGGTTATAATCACAAATACCTAACAATTCTACAACAATGCAGACAGGTATATTGCTCGTAATAGAGAATATTATTCTACAAGAAATTAAATAAGTTTTGCCAGAAATGCCAGGGTAGCAATGGTTCTTACAGTAAGTACTGAAGCTGGAACTGCCAAGACAGTCAAAGGAATGTAAGCAACCGCCCTGAAAATCACCAAACAAATAACACATTCACAAATTATGCCAACTTATATATGTACAATTATTAATTTCCGCAGCACCATGACTAAGACCAGTATGTTACACCTCCACTACCCTTAACATGCTTCTTCAAGAAGAAAATCTATAAATGCATTTCCAAATTTGGTATAATACTATCAAGTATCAGCATCCATAACGTAGGGATCTTACAATCATAGGACTGCTCAACATTCATACAAGCCAATAACAATACTTCAAGCATTCAGCAAATTGAAGGGAAATGGATCCTCTCATGTGTAATTTTACATGATCAGGTCAACTGAAAGGTTCTTAACCGTTGATTATCTTTTTCCCACCCTACATTCCAATATTTTTTTCTCTTTCATCTCTTATCACCGTTGATTTGTCTATCAATGGTTAAGAACCTTACACATGACATGGTCATGTCAAATTACACATGAGAGGATCCACTCCCAAATTTCAGACCTTCATTAGTAGTCCAAATGGTAATGAAGTCCTGCTAAGATGTATATGAGCCTATTTTACAAGAACCAGCTTTCAACATAGGCATGGGTGAAAAGAATAGCTCCCAAACAAACTAAAGATAAGATTGTTACACTTATCAATAAAAACAAGAAAAAACATAAAAACAAAAGAGTCATACTTCACCTAGTTAGCTTAACCATATCAAATGGCATGGTTAGTTAGAACTGCCAAAAAGTCAAAATGATATTAGACCTATGGTGATCTTTCTGTCAGCCAGGACACAGTATCAGAGATCTAGCTACAAATATTTTGACTATGCTAATAAGCTACTTCTCACCAAGATATTTCCTTTTCACAAATGACTCTATCAATTGCAATTAACACCACACAAATTAAAAAGCCTCACAATTTTGAGACTATAAAAAACCACTAAGATGCTTACTAGACAGAAATTTTAGGGATAAAAAATTAAAAGTGACTTACAGAACAAGTGGACCCCAAGGCCCAAGATCATGCTCAACCCATAATAAGAAATCCTTCATCATCTGAGGAGCAAAAAATGTGAAAAGATTCAAAATCTAACTGTAAACAGAATGTTTAAGCAAAAGCAAAGGCGAAGCATAAAGGAGGAAGCAGAGATTCCCATCCGAAAACTAGCTCACGAGACAGCTGAGACTGTATTAGCATGCAGATTTGAAGCCAATTACGAACAAATCCTTTCTAATTATCACTCCTTCGTCACTAGACTAAAGCATCATAAATCTAAAACATTGCGCAAATGCTACTTATATTACGCTAAATCCAATAGCCAAAGATAAAATCGCGCGATCAAGAAGCGTATCCAGACAATCAAACAATTGAGCAATATAGCATCCACCCCATTTAAAAAAAAAAAAAAAAAAAAAAGTCCCATCTCAAAATGGGAGGGACCCAGAAGCGAAATTGGAGGTAAGGGAAAAAAGGGTGTGAGAAAAAAAAAACCTTTTCGACAGGGAGAGTGAAACAAGCGACAATAACAGCGGCGAGGAGAAGGAGGAAAATGGTGATCCTGAGGGCAGAGGCCCAGGAGAAAGCCATGGTTAATCTGCGACGCCAAGGCCTGCACTCCTCGTCGTCGTCGTTCAAATCAGGTGAAGGTTGCTTCGAGGAAGAGCGAGCCCTCAATCCCACAAGATTTGCCAGATTTATTTTCTTTCCTTTTCTCTGCAACCAAAATGGCACCGACCTTTTAGGCCATCAATCAGATTGACCTTGTTTTGTTTCAGAGAGAGAAGAGAAGAGAGAGGGAGGAGAATAAAAGAAGATGATCAGAAAGATGACAAGTTTTTTTGATACTGGTTGGTAATTTTGCCTCACGCGTTGGTTCTACTTCTTCTACGTGTGAGCTTTTAACCGTAACCGACAACATCTTTAGGATATATGTAGGTTCCAGGCTTTGAGCAACTTGAAAGCAACAAGCGGATATTTTGGTTGGGTTCACCTAGTTCAATAATATGAGTAATTAATAGCCCAAAAAAAAAAAACTGTGAATAGATTTTTATTTTAATGAGGTTCACATATATATTTCATGTTAAATTCATAGTAAATTTATATACTATGAAGCACCGACACTTCAAAAATCTTAACGTGTTGTGTCCGACACTTTTCGACACTCTCGGACACTCCGACACACATTATAGAAATTCAAAAAAAAGGTTCAAAGGGGTTGAGTTTTTAGTTCCAACTATTACATTCGTTGTATTACTATTGCCATTTTATTGAGTTTAATATAAATAGTTGGCATACCTTATGTTTCTTTGCAAAATTTATGAATATTATAAGATTATATTTATTTTTGTGTTAAATTATTGAATATTAAATATAATATTCACTACATAAATTAAAAATATTATTTAATATCAAAACATGTCCTAACGTGTCGAAATCTATCATTTTTTAGAATTAACGTGTCGAAGTGTCGTGTCGTATCGTGTCACGTGTCCCCTGTCAGTATCGGTGCTATATATATATATATATATATATATATATATATATATATGGGATAGGATCATTTGACACCGGTGTCAAACTTTGAAATTTGACACCAAATCTTATTCGTTGATTTCCGCCAATCAATGGTTATCATATATTGAGAATTAATATTAATTAATAAGTTTGATTTCCAATAAATGATAACCATTGATTGGCGAAAATCAACGGATAGGATTTGGTGTCAAATTTCAAAATTTGACACCGATGTCAAAGGATCCTGCCCTATATATATATATATATATATATATATATATATATATATATATATATATATATATATAGGCAAAAGGATTTCTACAGCCGCTGCACCTACAGCTAGCCAGGATCCGCGTGCGGATACTAGGATACGGCACCGGATCCTTGTTTTTTTTTTTTTTAAAACGCCGTAGGGCCCACTTTTCTGTGTCAGCTGTAAAGAGTGTTATCTACGGCGGCTACAGAAATGATAAGCCCATATATATATAGGCAAAGGATATTGTAACAACCAAGTTGTGTTACTACCAATCAATCTCATCGTTAGATCGATTATGTTGATCCAACGGTTATATTTATTTCCATCTTTGTATGGTCATGATTTCCTAAATTTAATACTTTATATGTATTTTCACCTTTGTATGGTTATGATTCCCCATATTTAATGCTTTCATCCTTTGTATGGTTATGATTCCCCGCAATTAATGCTTTCAAGAATATATATGACAAGTATTTGATTGTTGTACGTGCATCAATTGCAGAAATGTAAATTCTTATATATATATAGGAAAAACATTTCTTCGACAACTTGAGATAAGTTTATCTCCGGCCACCCTAATACTAGGTCGTTTTGTTTATCTCAAGCTGCCGGAGATAAAGTTATCTCCGTCTACTAAATCATAATCGTACAAAGATGGATCAATGGTGATAAAGGAAGAGAGAGAAAAGGAAAATCATAACCATTCAAAGGTGAATCAATTAATATAAGGAAATAAATAAACAAAACGACGAAGTTTTAGGGTGGCCGGAGATAAACTTATCTCAAATAGCTTGAGAAATGTTTTTCCATATATATAGGTAATATCATTTCTACAGTTGTTGTACGTACAACAATTAAATTTAAACCATTGATTGATTATGATTCTTCATTAGTTATAATTAAATTTAAACCATTGATTATGATTATGAATCAATTAATACAGTTGTTGTACGTACAACATATATATAAGGGAGGGATCTTTTGACTCTAGAGTAAGACTTACAACTCTTACTCTTCCTCTCAACCGTTGATTTTCGTCCATCTAACTGTTATTATTTATTTGAATTTAATAATTAAATAATAACAGTTAGATGGACAGAAATCAACGATTTAGATGAGGAGTAAGAGTTGTAAGTCTTACTCTAGAGTTAACAGATCCCTCCCTATATATATATATATATATATATATATATATATATATATATATATATATATATATATATAGGCAAAATGATTTCTGCAGCTGCTGTACCTACAGCTAGCCAGGATCCGCGTGCAGATCCTTTTTTTTTTGTTTTTTTTGTTTTAAACGCCGTGGGGCCCACTTTTCTGTGGTTGTAGAGAGTGTTATCTACAGCGGCGACAGAAATGATAAGCTCATATATATATATATATATAATTAATGAGTATTTCTTTCATGCAGACTGTTTAATTTTGTGATTTTAGGTTATTATATTTTGAAAAAAATACTAATTACATTCATTCTTACGTCTTCTTAATTGATAAAATCATAGAATAAATGTAAAAGAAACGAGGTAACTTCACCTGTAATAAAATGAAGTGCTGTGTGTATATTAATTTTTTTTGATATTTTCATTCTAGGTTCACAAGTACGTGATAATTTAAATGGGTTGTGTTTTGTAAATATTAGTAATTGGAATTAAAAAAATAATAAGTTAAATTATAGGAAATTATTTACTATATAATCCAAGTACCAACATGTCAGACTTTTTTTCTTCCTTATTCTTGACAAAATATCCATATATGTAAAAATAAGAATTTAGATCCAACTGTATTATTTAATCCGGCCTGTTTCGGCCCAGTGACACCCTTGGGCTAAAAGTTTATGTTTAAATTTAAGGGTAAAAGCTTGAGTCAGGCCTAAAGCACACCCTTGGATATTTATTTCTTTATTTCTTTATTTATGTTTTTTTGCACTAGAATATTTTGTCGTGCTTAGGTCTAATGATGCACGGTCACGGAACACGATACGACACGCCGACACGTTAATTTTAAAAAATGTCATATTTTAACACGTTGAGACATATTTTAATATTTAATAAAAAATTTAATATTTAATAAAAAATTTAATATGTATAATATAACTTATATTTAATACATATAAAAGTTCATAATAAGTCATATAACCAATCAAATATTTAAATTTCATAAAATAAATATAAGAGACATGATCCGTTTATAAACTTTTTTTGCAATTACACTAATGTAGGACCGGTCGTACACTGTGTGATTAATGTAGGACTGGTTCTACATAGTGTAGTTTGTAAACAAAAAAGTTTGTAAATATAACCTGCCCCTAAATATAAATATAAATAATTTTTCATATTTTGTTAAATTTTCATATCAAATTTCATAACAGAAAGAAAATTAATTTATACATTTTCTTTTATATTTAGTTAACAAAATAAAATTAAGGTTTATTTATAAAAAAAACGTGTTCGAACGTGTCCGAGCGTTGACTGCGTGTTCGAAAATGTTGACCGCGTGTTGAAAAAACGTGTCGAAGAGTTGACCGCGTGTCCCCAAATATTGACCGCGTGTCAGACGCGTGTCGGAGAGTGTCCGTGTCGAACATGTGTCCGACACGCAAATTTTGTTTCAAACCCGTGTGTCCGTGCTTTGAAGCTTAGGTCTTTGTTTTTTCAGATTTTATCAACAACAAAAAAAATTGAAGAGTAAAGAGATTTGTAATAATTTGATTATTTGTTTGATTGTTTCTCAAATTAATAGTTTGTTTCCACATTCATTTTTGAATTTTAATCATAAATCATATCTCTATTTCTTTTCTTTAATTAATAGTGACTTTTCAAATTATTTTTTGAATTAAAAATCGTAAATTGTGATTTAATTTTCGAATAGTAAATTGTGATACAGATACGATTCAATATTGAATATACAACGATTCACATACAATATCAATTTCAATATAGACAACCGATTCGAATTGCGCCCTAATGTATCAGATCGCACCATACAACAGAATAGTTCATCTCATTTTAAATTCGTTTAGACGTCTGTTTTTTTAAAAAATAAAAATCACAAAAAAAGTCAAAAAAATTCTTCTTTTTAAAAGTTGAAAATTTTAATTTTTAAAAAAATGCAGAAGTTAAAAGCCAAATATTTTTCAAAAACTAAATATTTTTATAAAAATATAAATAGCTTTAACTTTTGTAAAAAGCACTATTAAAATAAGGAAGAGATAAAAACTATTTTTTCTAGAAGCCCAAACAAACAAGCTCTAGTATGTAGCAAGAAGGAAATTTCGGAACAGTGACCAAAGTGCCCTTTTTGGACAAATTTTTTATCCAAATGCCACCCGAACAGTATTTTTTACCAGACAGCCACGTGACGTAATTCACTACGACTGGTAGCGAATTACGTTCTCCAATGATTTCGTGACACGTGACCATATTGCAAACTAAATTCGCTACCACTGGTAGAGAATTATGACACGTCAACTTTTTTATGTGAAAGTGTGTCACGTGTCACAAAATCATTGGCGAACGTAATTCGCTACCAGTCGTAGCAAATTACGCCACATGACAGTCTGGTAAAAAGTACTGTTCGCGTGGTATTTGGATAACTTTTTTTCCAAAAGAGATATTTTGGTCACTATTCCGAAAATTCCTCTCCTACAACACTAATGGACAAAAGATAATAAAAAAAAATGGAATGAGACACTTTGCTCAATAATTTTGTTTTGTCAATATATTAGCATCAGAGGAATCTGATTTATGTGACATAGACTTATTTAACCATATATATATATGTATATAGGGCTTATCATTTCTAAAGCTGTCGGAGATAACTTTATCTCCGGCAACTAAATCATTACCGTACAAAGATGGATAAATGGTGATAAAGGAAGAGAGAGAAAAAGGAAATCATAATCATTCAAAGGTGAATCAATAAATGTAAGGAA